TAAGATTTCCTGCGAAGTGGGCCTCGGTGTTTTTATTAATTTTTACTTTCTCGTATATATGAAGAATAGAGAAAGTATTGTAATCGTGCAAAAAAAAAAACGAGATTTTTACAAATCTCGACGTTTTACACCTCACTGATACGGAAAAACATAATTTTGCAATCTTGTCCGTATGTCTGTGTGTCTGTGTGTGTGTGTGTCTGTCTGTCTGTCTGTCTGTCCGTGTGTAAACACGATTACTTGAGAACCGTTACAGCTAGGTTGATGAAATTTCATATATAAGTATTTTATCAAAATCGTAGATCCGTATCAACTTTTGAGCGATTTCCGATAACCGGAAGTGGTACTTTTCCTACTTTGAATTTTTCAAAAGCCTATAATTTGAGTACTATTTCAGATAGATAAATGAAATTTCACATGTAAGTAAAAGATCTAATTCTCTACCTTCTGTTAAATTTTGAGTAATTTCCGTTGACTGGAAGTAGTACTTTACGCTACTTCTGATTTCTCAAAAAACTAATGTAAATTTTAAAAGTACTAATAATATTGCGCACTATTATGCGCTTTTTTATTTGGCGTTCACTTGGTGTGCAATTAATTTGTCTACGAGATTTTATTCTATTTTTAAAACTTTAAGTATTTAAAATGGATTAAAAATCATGTCTATAGCCCGAGTTCCCATCCCCTGTTATTTTATATAAGAATATTCGAGAAAGTTTAAGGAAGATCACTCCCGGTTTATTTTTTAAAGCCTCACTTTAGACATCTTTTAATTATTTATCTTTAAAAATAAACCCGTTATCTTCTTTACAAATGCATTATTCACACATCCTTGGTAAACAACCTATCATTATTCACACAAACTTTGTAAACAACCTATCATTATTCACACAAACTTTGTAAACAACCTATCATTATTCACACAAACTTTGTAAACAGCCTATCATTATTCACACAAACTTTGTAAACACCCTTCAACTGTAGACAATCAGGAGAAACTAGATTTTTTTTCTAGGTTGTCGAGTCATTGTTAGATTAGAAACAGTTTTTTTTTTTATGTTCGAGATTTTTAAAAATACTTTTTTAATCACAAGTTGAAACTTTAGCCTATTAGATTTGTGAGGAAATCTTTCAGAAGACCACTTAGGATGTTAGTGTTCATACGGTCGAAATAGGGCCACGAGATTAAACAAAACAAAAAAAACAAGATGGTCGTCAAATTGTCAATTTCTAGTAATCAATTGCCATGTCACAACAAAAAGAAACAACAAAACATAACAGGAGTCTCCATACCTGACGACATGCTTGACCCTTTCGCCATCACCAAACATTAACCGTATGGGTATACCGTATCTAAAAGCATGGGTCGCTTTATCATCATTCACGTAGGGCCCGCTTAAGGAGCAAGGGGACGCAACCACTGGTAAAATTTCGGTCGCAAGATTTAACTTGCGACATATGAAGGATTAAGCAAGACGGATAAGTAAAGTTTGTAAGACAGACCGACTTGTTGGCCTGAGACTGTTTTCTTCTAATTCCAGAGCAACTGCCCGCCCACCAGGACGACCTTTGACCCCTCCCTGCTCTTCTACTCGCCCATCAAGGCTGGTGACGTGGGCTGGAACTGGGAGACCTTCCTGATTGGCTTTGACGGTAAAGTGGTCAAACGGGCGCCGCCCGCCACTGACCCCGACAAGCTGGAGGCAGACATTACGTCAGAGCTGACCCGAGCCGCGTCCACCTCAGTTGTCGGCTAGATGGAAGATTCCTGGAGTTTCCTTTTTGGTTGGATTGGTCTAAGGGGTCCAAGATTTTTCTAGGGTAATTGGTCTAAGGGGTCCAAGATTTTTCTAGGGCAATTGGTCTAAGGGGTCCAAGATTTTTCTAGGGCAATTGGTCTAAGGGGTCCAAGATTTTTCTAGGGTAATTGGTCTAAGGGGTCCAAGATTTTTCTAGGGCAATTGGTCTAAGGGGTCCAAGATTTTTCTAGGGTAATTGGTCTAAGGGGTCCAAGATTTTTCTAGGGTAATTGGTCTAAGGGGTCCAAGATTTTTCTAGGGTAATTTGGTCTAAGGGGTCCAAGATTTTTCTAGGGTAATTTGGTCTAAGGGGTCCAAGATTTTTCTAGGGTAATTTGGTCTAAGAGGTCCAAGATTTTTCTAGGGTGATTAGTCTAAGGGGTCCAAGATTTTTCTAGGGTAATTTGGTCTAAGGGGTCCAAGATTTTTCTAGGGTAATTTGGTCTAAGAGGTCCAAGATTTTTCTAGGGTAATTTGGTCTAAGAGGTCCAAGATTTTTCTAGGGTGATTAGTCTAAGGGGTCCAAGATTTTTCTAGGGTAATTAGTCTTAAGTGTCTAAAGTTTCTTGATTAATTTGTCGAAGGAGTTCACATTCTCTCCTCACATTCTCCCCTCACATTCTCTCCTCACATTCTCTCCTCACATTCTCCCCTCACATTCTCCCCTCACATTCTCTCCTCACATTCTCTCCTCACATTCTCTCCTCACATTCTCTCCTCACATTCTCTCCTCACATTCTCTCCTCACATTCTCTCCTCACATTCTCTCCTCACATTCTCTCCTCACATTCTCTCCTCACATTCTCTCCTCACATTCTCTCCTCACATTCTCTCCTCACATTCTCTCCTCACATTCTCTCCTCACATTCTCTCCTTACATTCTCTTCAGTGTGCCGTATGATCTGAATTTATTTTGTTTTTAAAGTTTTTTTTTTCTGCGCTTGTAAATTATCTGTTGAACTGAACATGTTAATGCCTATTTAACAAAATGAAATTGGCTTAGGAAAAAATTGAACCCGAGGACAGCTAGCCGGTAATTTGTTATCTAATGAGCGAAATGACCAAAAGGAAGCTACTCGAATCTGCTATTTAACTAATATTTTTTTCAAAATTTTCAAATATTTTTCTTTCTTTTTTCTAAATTTCTTTTTTGTGAATGAACATTTGTAATTAAATTTGTTCACGGTAGGCGTGATATTCTATGATTGACAGTACAAAATTGTGATTGAAGTGGTATGTATTCTAATTAGCATAAACACATCATGTTAAAAAATAGGCCTCAGAGAAGTGACGAGAGCTATATCTGAGCACAATTTGTGTGTATCGTTGGATTAGCAAAGGAGAATGACGTGCTGTCTGTAAACAGTCATTTCTGACTGACAGACTGCACCGATACACTACCGATGTCACGTGACTTGTGCATTCGTCACGTGGCTGACGTAATGACCTTTGAACCTTAAGGTACCGGTACCCACAAATTGTTAGTAAAGATTAAATAGCACGGAGCATAGACTAAAGGAAAGCTGTGAATTTTTTAAAAAGTTGTTTTATCCTAGCACTGGTAGAGGAAAATTCATAATTAAATTACAGCTGTTTTTTTTTCTTAAAATAATAGTGTTTCGTGTTTTGCCGTGTAGTCTGTATTGTATGCCTATATTTTATTCTATCAATAAAAGATTGATTTTCTTGAATGCCTTGTTGTGTTTAATTTATGAATGTACACATATTTTTAACGAGATGTTACTGAAATGTGTGAAATGTTACTGAAATGTATGTGGGGGGGGGGGAGGAGGGGGGGGGGGTCATCACATGTTTAAAAATAATTAAGTGTTAGGTGTAGGGCATCAAAGGCAGGGCCACACAAGGCCTCATGTGCTCTACCTACACCAGTGGCGTAGCGAGGGGGGGGGGGGTGCGGACCTCACCGGGTGACACCATTTAGGGGGGGGGTGACACCAAGGCAAAAAATAGCAACAATGATAATTCCACTTAATTAAGTGATTAATTCGAGTGTTAAAAAGTCTTTTAAGAGCAAATTTGAAAAATCTCGACAAGGGTGGAGAGGGAGGGTGAAAATCGAAAGTTTGAGGGGGGTGCAAATCGAAAATTGAAAGTTTGTCCCCAGGCGCCGGGAAGGGTCGCTACGCCTCTGGGGGTGACACTATTAAGTGCCGCACCGGGTAACACCCGACCTCGCTACGCCGCTGAGCTACACCATTTGTCTACCCCGGTCTGACAGAGAAAAGGATTTAAAGATTGATCAAGGGAAGCAAGTGAGGGTGAAGATAATCGTCCTTCACGAGCTACTGATAGTGTTTTAAAGCAAAATATTTTCTGTCGCAGCATTGGTAGTGTCGAATTCACAAATTATGAATTTCTGAAAAATAGAATATAAAACAACTAAATAGCGGCGTAGGTATGCTATTTAGCAGGTCAGCTCGTTAAATTGAAACTATCAAAATATTTACAATCTTGTGGGTCGGATATAAAAATTCATTTCAAAATTGTAATTTAGTTTTGACAATACTCTCAGTCTAATATCTCTAAAATACTAAGTGCGATGCCAACAAAAGTGATACGCCAAACTGAACTCAGTTGTAGCATAAATAATTTATTTCACAGACATGATTTTAAGTCCACACACATGTCCACTTGTCAAATTCTTCTAGTTAATTGTTTTTCAATTAAAAGAGTGCTAAAAAGGTCATGCATACCTTTCATGTATCTGTATAGGCCCTAACCATTTGAAAACGAAAATCCCGCAATGTGTTTTTTTTTTAAACATGCCACATTGTAACAACATCGGATATCAAACACACGTCTTGAAAGTAGAAAAACGTAACAACTCTCGTTTATCCCATGTAGTTGTATGCCAGATTTTTCCAAACTTTACACTACATACTTTTTTCAGATTTACATGTTTCTAAGCCTACACAACTTTTAAAATCTATAATTGTTTTTTTTTGTTTTTTTTAGCAATTAGGAGATCTATTAGTAGCCCAAAAATTTGGTGACTTTGTCAGGTCATAAATGTCATAAAACTTTGATTATATTCTGGTGACCGCCTCCACGCACGTCTAGATCTCATTGTTTGTTATGGTGTCCATGCAGGGTACATGAGGTAGAGAGGTGATACAGGAGAGATAACGCTGAGATAAAGCTGGAGTGGTGATACAGCAGTGAAGAGATAACCTACAAAACTCATCAACTCTGTGCTGGCAGTATAAAACACCCCGGGTCTAGTTGACGGCAGGCTGGACTAGAGGCTGGACCACTGAAAATGTGGACGACGGTCACTACCACTGGTCTTCTGGCCACTTTATGTGGTCTCTTGTCGGTGGTGCAGGCTGGCGTCATGATGGTAAAGTTGTGTGTGGTGAATTACCTCGCTTCCTAACGTCTAGCACACATTTCGGTTGAAAAGTTTTTTTCAAACTTTTTTTTGTCATTGTTTGAATTTACAATATCAAATATGACATACCGTTTTAATTTTCCTCCCAATATTTTTTTTTTTTTAAATTGTTTCTTTTTAGAATTGTAATCAGCCAGAAAATGATAACAGAACAATTTACGACTTTTCTCTGTTGGACGTTCACAAAGAAAGGACAATTAGTCTGAGCGATTACCGCGGAAAGGTAAGATTTAATTTCACGTCAATTAATTGCTGCTGCGGGGTCAAATATAACGCCATAACGTCAAGTGTAATTGGCCAACAGCCGCGGATCAAACGTGAACTTTTTATAATTGTCTCATGATGTGGTGACGGTGAGTGGTGAGGGTCAGGTCTGGTGCTATAAGGGTGGGCTAGGGATGTTGTAGGTAGACACATATTGTGTAGACACATCTAATGTAGACACATATTGTGTAGACACATCTAATGTAGACACATATTGTGTAGACACATCTAATGTAGACACATATTGTGTAGACACATCTAATGTAGACACATATTGTGTAGACACATCTAATGTAGACACATCTTGTATAGAGACATGTAGTGTAGACACTTCTAGTGTAGACACATCTAGTGTAGACACATCTAGTGTAGTCACATCTAGTGTAGTCAAATCTAGTGTAGACACATCTAATGTAGACACATCTAATGTAGACACATCTAATGTAGACACATCTAATGTAGACACATCTAATGTAGACACATCTAATGTAGACACATCTAATGTAGACACATCTAATGTAGACACATCGTATTGATTGTGACATCTTTTGTCCACTAGGTCGTGTTGATTGTGACATCTTTTGTCCACTAGGTCGTGTTGATTGTGACATCTTTTGTCCACTAGGTCGTGTTGATTGTGACATCTTTTGTCCACTAGGTCGTGTTGATTGTGACATCTTTTGTCCACTAGGGGCGTGTTGATTGTGACATCTTTTGTCCACTAGGTCGTGTTGATTGTGACATCTTTTGTCCACTACGTCGTGTTGATTGTGACATCTTTTGTCCACTAGGTCGTGTTGATTGTGACATCTTTTGTCCACTACGTCGTGTTGATTGTGACATCTTTTGTCCACTAGGTCGTGTTGATTGTGACATCTTTTGTCCAATAGGTCGTGTTGATTGTGACATCTTTTGTCCACTAGGTCGTGTTGATTGTGACATCTTTTGTCCACTAGGTCGTGTTGATTGTGACATCTTTTGTCCACTAGGTCGTGTTGATTGTGACATCTTTTGTCCACTAGGTCGTGTTGATTGTGACATCTTTTGTCCACTAGGTCGTGTTGATTGTGACATCTTTTGTCCACTAGGTCGTGTTGATTGTGACATCTTTTGTCCACTAGGTCGTGTTGATTGTGACATCTTTTGTCCACTAGGTCGTGTTGATTGTGACATCTTTTGTCCACTAGGTCGTGTTGATTGTGACATCTTTTGTCCACTAGGTCGTGTTGATTGTGACATCTTTTGTCCACTAGGTCGTGTTGATTGTGACATCTTTTGTCCACTACGTCGTGTTGATTGTGACATCTTTTGTCCACTAGGTCGTGTTGATTGTGACATCTTTTGTCCACTAGGTCGTGTTGATTGTGACATCTTTTGTCCACTAGGTCGTGTTGATTGTGACATCTTTTGTCCACTAGTTCGTGTTGATTGTGACATCTTTTGTCCACTAGGTCGTGTTGATTGTGACATCTTTTGTCCACTAGGTCGTGTTGATTGTGACATCTTTTGTCCACTAGGTCGTGTTGATTGTGACATCTTTTGTCCACTAGGTCGTGTTGATTGTGACATCTTTTGTCCAATAGGTCGTGTTGATTGTGACATCTTTTGTCCACTAGGTCGTGTTGATTGTGACATCTTTTGTCCACTAGGTCGTGTTGATTGTGACATCTTTTGTCCACTAGGTCGTGTTGATTGTGACATCTTTTGTCCACTAGGTCGTGTTGATTGTGACATCTTTTGTCCACTAGGTCGTGTTGATTGTGACATCTTTTGTCCACTAGGTCGTGTTAATTGTGACATCTTTTGTCCACTAGGTCGTGTTGATTGTGACATCTTTTGTCCACTAGGTCGTGTTGATTGTGACATCTTTTGTCCACTACGTCGTGTTGATTGTGACATCTTTTGTCCACTAGGTCGTGTTGATTGTGACATCTTTTGTCCACTAGGTCGTGTTGATTGTGACATCTTTTGTCCACTACGTCGTGTTGATTGTGACATCTTTTGTCCACTAGGTCGTGTTGATTGTGACATCTTTTGTCCACTAGGTCGTGTTGATTGTGACATCTTTTGTCCACTAGGTCGTGTTGATTGTGACATCTTTTGTCCACTAGGTCGTGTTGATTGTGACATCTTTTGTCCACTAGGTCGTGTTGATTGTGACATCTTTTGTCCACTAGGTCGTGTTGATTGTGACATCTTTTGTCCACTAGGTGGTGCTGATTGTGACATCTTTTGTCCACTAGGTGGTGTTGATTGTGACATCTTTTGTCCACTAGGTCGTGTTGATTGTGACATCTTTTGTCCACTAGGTCGTGTTGATTGTGACATCTTTTGTCCACTAGGTCGTGTTGATTGTGACATCTTTTGTCCACTAGTTCGTGTTGATTGTGACATCTTTTGTCCACTAGGTCGTGTTGATTGTGACATCTTTTGTCCACTAGGTCGTGTTGATTGTGACATCTTTTGTCCACTAGGTCGTGTTGATTGTGACATCTTTTGTCCACTAGGTCGTGTTGATTGTGACATCTTTTGTCCAATAGGTCGTGTTGATTGTGACATCTTTTGTCCACTAGGTCGTGTTGATTGTGACATCTTTTGTCCACTAGGTCGTGTTGATTGTGACATCTTTTGTCCACTAGGTCGTGTTGATTGTGACATCTTTTGTCCACTAGTTCGTGTTGATTGTGACATCTTTTGTCCACTAGGTCGTGTTGATTGTGACATCTTTTGTCCACTAGGTCGTGTTAATTGTGACATCTTTTGTCCACTAGGTCGTGTTGATTGTGACATCTTTTGTCCACTAGGTCGTGTTGATTGTGACATCTTTTGTCCACTACGTCGTGTTGATTGTGACATCTTTTGTCCACTAGGTCGTGTTGATTGTGACATCTTTTGTCCACTAGGTCGTGTTGATTGTGACATCTTTTGTCCACTACGTCGTGTTGATTGTGACATCTTTTGTCCACTAGGTCGTGTTGATTGTGACATCTTTTGTCCACTAGGTCGTGTTGATTGTGACATCTTTTGTCCACTAGGTCGTGTTGATTGTGACATCTTTTGTCCACTAGGTCGTGTTGATTGTGACATCTTTTGTCCACTAGGTCGTGTTGATTGTGACATCTTTTGTCCACTAGGTCGTGTTGATTGTGACATCTTTTGTCCACTAGGTCGTGTTGATTGTGACATCTTTTGTCCACTAGGTCGTGTTGATTGTGACATCTTTTGTCCACTAGGTCGTGTTGATTGTGACATCTTTTGTCCACTAGGTCGTGTTGATTGTGACATCTTTTGTCCACTAGGTCGTGTTGATTGTGACATCTTTTGTCCACTAGGTCGTGTTGATTGTGACATCTTTTGTCCACTAGGTCGTGTTGATTGTGACATCTTTTGTCCACTAGGTCGTGTTAATTGTGACATCTTTTGTCCACTAGGTCGTGTTGATTGTGACATCTTTTGTCCACTAGGTCGTGTTGATTGTGACATCTTTTGTCCACTAGGTCGTGTTAATTGTGACATCTTTTGTCCACTAGGTCGTGTTGATTGTGACATCTTTTGTCCACTACGTCGTGTTGATTGTGACATCTTTTGTCCACTAGGTCGTGTTGATTGTGACATCTTTTGTCCACTAGGTGGTGCTGATTGTGACATCTTTTGTCCACTAGGTGGTGTTGATTGTGACATCTTTTGTCCACTAGGTCGTGTTGATTGTGACATCTTTTGTTCACTAGGTCGTGTTGATTGTGAACGTGGCCACCTACTGAGGCCTGACCCACCATTACTACGGGATGAATGCACTCCAGTCCCAGTATGGTAGTCACGGCTTCGTCATCCTCGGCTTTCCGTGTAATCTTTTTAACATGGTAGGTAAATTTTCAACTCCCGGTGTAATCTTTTTAACATGGTAGTAAGGAAAATGTATCAATGCCTCGTGTTAAATTGCCAACTACTGCTCGTCTGACTCCCCCCCCCCCTCCCACCCCTCCCGTTGGTTTCAGCAAGAGCCAGGAGCTAACGGTACAGAGATCCTCAATGGCGTGACACACGTGCGACCAGGAGGGGGATTTGTGCCCAACTTTCAGCTCTTTGAGAAGATAGAGGTGAACGGGGCCAGAGAACACCCGCTCTTTACGTACCTGAAGGTAAGGAACCTGGGATGTCTGCGATATGGGCACATCTAGGGGTGTACACATCAATGGTCTAGAGTAGATGTCTGTGATTTGGGCACATCTAGGGGTGTACACATCAATGGTCTAGAGTAGATGTCTGTGATTTGTGCACATCTAGGGGTGTACACATCAATGGTCTAGTGTAAATGTCTGTGATTTGGGCACATCTAGGGGTGTACACATCAATGGTCTAGTGTAAATGTCTGTGATTTGGGCACATCTAGGGGTGTACACATCAATGGTCTAGTGTAAATGTCTGTGATTTGGGCACATCTAGGGGTGTACACATCAATGGTCTAGAGTAGATGAGAGGATGTAGAACAATATGTTCTACTACAACAGATCTTTAAAATATAAATAGAGAAGGGAATGTAAATGTACAGATAAGCCTACAGTGATCATTGCTTTAAATACAACTTTAAGGATGTGATGATCTGAAAAAGGCTACACACATTTTTGCACACCAAAATATTTTGATTAAAATTTGATAAAGAAATTATTTTTGAGAAATGATAACGCCATTATTTACGATAACATAAATCATCATCAAGCATAGGCCTACAATCACTTACTGTTGTTGCTACTGTTTGTAGCTACCTTTACTGCTGCCATCGGTAATGTGGACTTATAATGGGAGATAACTCGACACTTCTCAGATAAATTCACCATTTTATTTTAATTTTAAGCTAACTTTCACTTCTCTCTCGCCAGAGTAACTGTCCTCCGACGACTACGAGCTTTAACCCCTCTGTGCTCTTCTACTCCCCCATCCGGGCTGGTGACGTGGCCTGGAACTGGGAGACTTTCCTCATCAACAAGTCGGGCAAGGTCATCAAGAGGGCGGTGCCTTCCGTGGACCCTGCCGCGCAGGCGCAGGACATCGAGTTGGAGCTGGCTCGGGCCTAACGTTTCTAGGGGCAGACGCCGACAAGACCAGCTCTGTAGTTTGAGAGCCCGAGTGAAATTTTAAACGCCTTAATTTTTTAAAATCTTTCTTTTAAATATTCGTTTTCATTGGAAGATTTGGGGGGTGGGGGTGTAAAAATGGTGTTAGAGTTTAACGAACAAATATGGTTGAGTGCTCATCATTTTGTATGAAAAGACCATGACGTGTCCTCTGCAAACAGCCATTACTGGCTGACAGACGACGCCGACACGCTACTGACGTCACACTGACTAGTGCATTCGTCATGTGACTGACGTAGCGACTTTTCGCCAGATAGAAAATGATTATCACGTGACATTTGTTTCAACTCTAGTCTACAGTGTATGGCGAGACAACGCTTGAAATAAAAGAAATATGAAAAACTTTTTAAATTTTTGCTTTTTAATGACTCGATTTGTACAAGTAATGGGAAATAACTCCTGGCTAAAACAACAAGTATCAAACATTTTAATTTTAAAGTGAATGTTCTTACAATTATAACAATTTTTTCTATTCTTTCACGAATTACTGTTTATCGTCAAACAAAATTAATAAATATCAGCCACATATTATATGAAAGTTGTGAATAAGTCAAGCTAGAGTACACGGCACACAATTGTAAAACACACCGTCATTTCATTATAACGCAACACCAGTGGGCTTAAGGCGAGATCCCGGGGGAGATGAAACTCTGGGCCCCACCCTTAACAGCTGCAGCCAAGTCGACCAATTTGAAGAAGAAGGACCAGGCCTCCCTGAGTCATATCCAAAACTGTTATGCAAGTTGGCATAAAATCCAACTGCCAGCAAACCCCCCCCCCCCCCCCCTGGTCACAAATAACGTGGTCCAATCAGCTCACACTAGAACCTGCTGCTGAACTACAGACGTGCAGATACCTCACGTCCAACAGATTCAATGCAGCAGATATGGACAACAGTACAAAACAACATGGGCCCAACACACTGGAGCTCTCCATACACCAGGGAGACGAAGTCAGCGGCAACCTCAGATGGGTCTCAACAACACGTAATAAAACAATAAGCAGAGCACTGCAATCCCATACACTAACAACCGTAAATTCACCATCCACAATGACAACCCACTCCACACTACATTAAAATAATTTACAAAGACACAACAATAAACATTTTAATCGCATTACTAGGCAGACGACAAGCCTGTCAAACATGCGGCTAACATGAACAAACCATTGTCAGGTAGTCAACCAAGAGTCACCGCAACAAGACGACCCAACAACAACACAAGCAACAACAATCACCCCAACGCCTATAGACAGAGAAATCTCAACAACAGCCTCGACAGCAATAAGCAAGCTAAACACAACACAACTAGAAATCTTCAATACCAAAACAAACTCTTTCTCAGAAACAGCGCTCAACATCCAACGACAGCAAAACTCGACAAAGGACACCGACACAACAAACAAAAGGAAAAAGGACGACAGCCCACTAAAAATCAAAAGACCACTAAAGACACTGAAATCTGGCAACACTGAAAACAAAAAAACAGCAATCAGTCCCATCTCAACGCTGAACTAATCCAAGACGTCGAGGGAACATTCAGAAATAATTCTGATTAGGGAACATTAAGAGACAACTCAGTTTAGGGAACATCCAGAGAGAACTCAGATTAGGGAACATCCAGAGAGAATTCAGATTAGGGAACATCCAGAGAGAATTCAGATTAGGGAAGATCCAGAGAGAATTCAGATTAGGGAACATCCAGAGAGAATTCAGATTAGGGAACATTCAGAGAGAATTCAGCTAAGGGAACATTGAGATGGGGCTGAAACTTACTCCCATAAGTGTTAGACATTAGTTGTAAGATGTCACATCCAAGATAACCATTACCATAAAATGCTAACTGTGCTTTATAAAACCTGACATTAAATCTAGTGAGCTTCTAGCATAACATTAAATACAGACAAAATAATGTCGGTTACGTTGGAAGAAGATTGACGAGAAACAAACATGTTCACATATCTGGGAAGCGTGATCAAAAAGGACGGGGGAGCAGAAAAGGACGTAAAATGCCGTATCAACAAGGCTAGATGTGCCTTTAAATCACTGCGCCCGATGTGGAGGTGCACAGCTCTGTCACTCCGGAGCAAAATTGGGATTTTCAACACAAATGTCATGGCAATCTTGCTCTATGGCTTGGAAGGTTCGTTTACAAATAAATGCTTACGACGTATACTTAAAATAAGATGGCCAGACATATGAAACAAAAACCTGTGGCAAATTTCAAAACAACAGCCAATAGATAAGGATATCAAGGCCCGTAAAAGAGGATGGATTGGTCACACGCTAAGAAGAGAAAAAGATAATATTGCAAAACATGTTATGGACTGGAATCCCCAAGAAAAAAAATGTAGGAAACATCTTGACAGAAATGTGTGGATTGTGTGTGTGTGTGAAGTTAACACAGCGGCTGTTACAATTGCTGACCAGGGTAAGTTAAAGAAGGCCATCTCTATAACCAGTGGTATAGATAAGATGGGGCTATGGGAGAGCTCTATGCAAATAGCACTGTTGTCCTATGTTAATATATGTGTGACATACAAAGAGGCGTTTAAGTCCCCTCCTCAAATGAATGAAAGCTGTCTCATGTAAGTTATGTCTATTGTTGACAGCACCGGAGGTTCATGTTATATTTACAACTTTCCAAACTTTAAATGTAATTAAACCACAACTGTTGAGTGGGACAGTTAGGAATATGAAGAGATAAAAAATGTGACAATTCTTTATAACATTAAGGAAAAGCTTAGAAAAGTAAATAAGGAATACTAGGACAACCTTATGGTACGATCTTTTCAAAAGAAAATTTAGGAAAGACCAGTGGAAATTCTCTAGTATCACAGTCCAACAAGTACCTATAGGTCAAAGTCTAATGGTAATTCCACACAGTTGAATAGGGAATATGTGATGCTGGTTTTAAAAAAAAAAGCTGCATTAAAAGTCTTTCAACCAGAAATAATTATCAGAGGGTAAGTAATTTATTGGCCAAGTCATTTCTATATTCTTTTTTTAAAGCGTTAACTAGATGGTCTCTTTTTGCATTCTGCTCTGTTTTCTCCCAGTGCTTGAGTGCTTGATGAATGACTTCTTTAGTGTTTGATGGGTGCTCGTGCTTTAAGCGCTCAAGAATATGATCCTCAACACCCAGGCGACGCAAGAAACTGAAAGCCTCTCTGCCGAGTTTATCTTCTAAAAGTTCAAATTCTTTTACAAAACTTGAGCCTGAAGATTAAACATTGAAAAATTAACACAACTTTTATATTAATTTAAACACAAAAATAACCAGCTTATGCATGAAAAAAAACTGGTTTAATCATATAAGAAACCTTCAACAATAAAACTGAATGGTCATTTTCAAAATTAAGTCTCAAAGATCAAAATTCTAACCCTAACTAAAAATTCTAAACTTTATTAAAATAATTTAAAAGACATAAATTTCAGCACAAACAACTGGTTTGGTTTTAACAATTTCACGTTACAATTTCACCAGGGATTATAATCTGTACAGTTTATATTGGTTTTAACAAATGAGACATTACAATTTCACCAGGGATTATAATCTGTACAGTTTATTGTTATATATAATTAAGAGACAAGCTTTTCTCCTAGTAATATGAATTAAAAAGATAATTTTATGCCCCTGTCTAAGCTAAAACTTGAATTACAGAAAAATAATTGTAGAGAGTGAGAAGTATGCTTAGTTTTGGTTGTGTTTTCTTGAACTGTTAGTATGAACACAGTTTTTGTGGGTGAAATTATTTTTGGTTATGTTTTAAAATTAAAGCAAGGATAAAAGAAACGTTTCTTTAGTAATGCTGGTTCATGAGATTAGGCGACAGGAACTGCTGTTAATAAACATAACTCAAGTACACAAGGCCATTAAGCAAGTAAAAAAAAAATATACTTCTAATTTCTTCTGCTTGGATTGCATCTGTATATGGGAGATTTCGTCTTTTCTCATAGCTGTCAATAAGTTTAAAAACATCCACTCTTCCTTTGCATGCACCCTGCAACCATGTTCTCAAGTGTGCAAGGTTCTGTGGTGATAGTTTATCTCTTTCTTCCAGAGCTTCAAAAAACTGAACAACATTGTTTATACTTTCTCTAACTCTGGTGGGAATTATTGCTTTAGTTAGAAATTTTAAAGTCTCTAATTCATCAGGCAGAATGATTGCAGCTAGTTCAACAAGCATCTGTCTGTACGAGTTCTCTAATGTTTCATCACCATCCATGGCCAGATTTATTGATGTATTTGTATATATTTATATATGGTGCTCCCTGTGTACAAATAAAAAAATGCATTTCTTTAAGAAACCTATTTGTTTAAAAGAAATCATGATTAATAAAATATTCTGTATTCTGCTTCAATTATAGGCCTAAAACACTGGGCTATTTTGGTGTTGTAAAAGCAATAGTAGAGTGCATGTCTTCTTCTTCTTCGTTTTTAATTTTTAGTGTTGAAAGGATCGAGATTTATCTGCCAGTGGGTTTGAACTCGAGACTTTTTCGAATTTATCAACCATGAGCTTTTCGACCACGCTTCCAACACAATTAAGGTTACGTGTCAACTGGTTATGCGCCATTGAGGCCATTGACTCCGATTTCAGCCTGCTTTTCTTTTTGGATTTGCTTCCATAGCCTTTGTCCAACCAAGAACAAACTACAAGGCAGCAGTTGTTTGATATTGGAGTTGTCTCTCCTAGAAGAGTGGCTGTCCCCAGCTAACGAGCCTCATCTGTCCGAGGGTTCGAACTCGAGACAACAGTTTAGCAACCATGAGCTTTACAGAGTCGACCACACCGAGTGCATGTATTGTTGACTATTAATTATAAAACTCAATTCTAACAACAGCAACTAGTCATTCTTTAATGCTGATTACAACAATTTGCTTCAGTTGATTTAGTCTCTTCAAATACCCTAAAGTAACAATGTATTAGACTAAAGAAGATATGTGCATTGCTTAGTTCCTTAACAGTTACAATATGCGGGTTACAGTTTGCAGGTTACGGGATACGTTGTACAGGTTGCGGGTTACAGTTACGAGGTAAGGGTTACGGTGTATGGTTACAGGTTACTGGTTATGGTTTTGAGGTTACGGTTTCTGGGATACGGGTTACGAATTGCTTATTATGGGTTATGGTTTACGGTCTGACAGTTACGGTTTTTCGGGTTACTTGTTACAGGTTACTGGTTACAGTTTATGGTTTACTGTAGGTTGTGGTGTACGGGTTACTAAGTTGGGGTTATGGATTACCGGTTACGGTTTGACTTTTATGATTTACTGTGGGTTGTGGGTTATGGTGTACGGGTTACTAAGTTGGGGTTACGGATTACTGGTTACGGTTTGACTTTTACGGTAATTTGGTTATGGGTTATGGTATTCGGGCTACTCTTTGCGCATAGCGAGATGCAGGTTACGGGTTATTAGTTATTAGGCCTATAGAATATAGGATAAATTTAAAAAACCATGCCTGGCGTATATGGGATAAATTATAATTATTTATAACCTATACATACAAGAATAGATTATATATAGAACTAGAGATCATGTTGCGCACTATCGCCGGCTGATGCAATACTTTAAGTAAATTACAATAAATTACATCTATGCTTTACCAATTGTGTATTATAAAACGCATGTCCTTGTTTTCTAAAACTGAGTTATTTAAATTTAAAGAAAGCAGGCGCTATGTTTCTTGGATCAGAGTTATGGTGCAGGTTTGTCAACAATATTGCCTAGGCACCCCATTGTGTGCTGTATGAAAGTCTTCAGTCACCCTCCGTAACAGTAGTGAGGTAGACGCCCTACGGCGACCGCCTATGTAAACTTCCCAAAGACTAGATCTAGTCTAGTAGTAGATATGATAATGATATGATATAGAGTCTAGACTAACTACTAAGACAGAAGGTCTAGAAAACTCTCTAGATCAAGATCTGGTAATCTATCGTTTTGGGTACGTAAAATTGCCCGCGGTTATTAATGTACGAAAACGTTACCTCAATGTCAAGGCTGTAATAGAAGTATATTATTTATTGTGATATGTTTGTGTCAAATATTATAGATAAATGAATAATAAACCTAAATCAATGGCTAAATATATCAATATAGGCCAGAAATTAACTTTAAACAGCAGTGTCTGCAAGCAAGATTTGCTATATAAACTCAGCAGCCATTTTTAAAATAGAGTGACTTCCGCCTGAATCTCGTGCTATAAGTCTATAAAAATAAAACTTTAACAAGATGGCTACTAGAGATCTATAGTAAATGAGCATGTTTGCATCTGTTGGAAACATCGCTGGTGTTCATTTATTACTGAAAAGTTTTTATTCAATTGCTTAAAAACAGGTACATAAATGAAACAAGGAAACATTTTTGTATTTTTCAAAACATAATTCTCATAAATCCTCTTCAAAATGTGAAATAATTATTAAAATGTAAGGAGTCACCTGTTTTTCACATTACTAGTCGCGGGCGATTTTACGTACCTAAAACGATAGATTACCCAAGATCTACATCTAGCTAAACTAGATTCTAGCTTCTTACTACTTAGCTACTTCTTATACTTAAATTACTTAGTTAACTTATGACTTATACATACATACTTTTATTTAATTTATAGTTATTATAGTATAATTATAGAATTATAATTATAACTAGACTATTTAATAATTTATTATTTTATAGTCTTACAAATGTCAAATACACAAAGTAGTAAGTAGTGCTAGATCTAGATCAACAAGTAGATCTAGAAAAATCTAGTACTGTAGTAGAACTAGTTACTAGATCTAGTAGATCTAAATACTAGTACTCTAGATCTAGTAGTAATAGTCTTTATAGTAGTACTTGTAGTATTACAGATTTAGTCTTTGATATACAGATTTAATTTTATTATTTTGTATTATAATATAACATTGGAAATGTCGTTTTCACTTTTTTCCCCGATAGGTTTTGTGTACGGAGATCTATATATAGACTCTAGACCTAAATGCAAACTTCAGATTCACAAGAGTATGCCTTCTTTTAAACTTTTCATTGTCAAGATTCAAGATGTTCAACTTTCGACATCTAGCTTCTTTGGTTCTATTTATTATTTTCTGTTGCGCTTTAACAAACGTTGTGCTTAGCAGTAGTAAATATTCAGAAAAAGCTAATAGCAAAGATAAGAATGATCTTGATTTCGCAAGTCAAGAAAGGCCATTCAGAATGCTTAAAATTAACTTGCTATGGGAAAAAGCAAAAAAGGTAGGCCTTTTTAAAACAAGGTAATTAAAAAGTCTAGTGACAATTTTAGCGCAATTTCCTTATGTTATCTAAAAATAGCTCTGTCGTAGCGTAAATCAAGAGCAGGGTTAGTAAAACCATTGGTTAGTTATTAAAACGTGTTTTATTAATTTTTTTCAGTATTTTACATGTTTTATTTACAATAGAGTTAGCCTACATGACTAAAAACCATTGCGCGCCTACTGAACGTGATGGCGCAGCCATGGAACGCGATGGCGCAGCTATTGAACGTGATGACGCGTGGGGTGTGGTTGGAAAAAATGCCTACTAATTCGGTCCAAATTTTAATTAATTCAAAATTTTTTTTTGTGACCGAACGAAAGGATATTTTTGAAAACTTTCTTCGGCAATATTGTTCTAAATTATGGCAGGAATCGATTGGTACATGTTTCAAGTCGCTTAGTGGTCTGGTTGCCGAGATATGGGCCAAAAACTGCATTTTTTCGAGGTTTTTTGGCTTTTCCGGGAAATCCATGAAAGAAACCCGTAATTTTTATGGCCTATGTTCATCCTCGTAACTTGCTTAACATAATTGCTTTTGGAACTAGTCATCGATATTGCTTCGTTGAGGAGGAGATACGACTTAAAGCCCGGACACACATTCATCCATACATTCATACATTCATTCATCCATCCATTCCCAGAAATGACGAGTTAATAAACGCAATTCTCCAGAATGGAAATTGCGCTTAAAAAATTTGCCTTTTTTAGTAGAATCTAGTTAAAATTAAAATGGTTATAAAATCCTGTCTGTTTGTTTTTTTTTTCTGACTTTACTAAAGATTGGATGTAGCCTATTTGATTTTTTAAATATTTTTTGTAGGCCTAAATAAATAAAAAATTAAAAAAGGCTGCATTTGCGCAGTTCGCTCATCGTTACGCTAAATCTTTACCCTAGGTACTAGGTGGCACGCAATCTAAAAAAAATAGATATCAGGACTGCCCGATTTATTTTTTTTAAATCTAGATCTAGTTTATTTATATTATTTTAACACCTAAGAATCTAGTCTAGTACTTTTAAAAAAAAAATTCAGTGTGAGTAGTGGGTCACTAACCGTGGGCCTTTTAGCAGTCGGCCTTTTGTCTTGTCTGCCTTTTGTCTTGTCAGCCTTTTAGCAGTCGGCCTTTTGTCTTGTCTGCCTTTTGGATGTCAGCCTTTTGTTTTGTCGGCCTTTTGTCCTACACCCGTGAAACTTGGAGAGTTAGGGGTAAAAACTGGCTAAAATTGCTTGACATAAATTTAAATATTTTCATTCTTACTTTCATAAGGTATCGTAAAGTTCCCTTTTCAAACCTGACGGTCAATAGGGCAAGTGAAGTAGAGTTCACTTGTTTCTGTGACCTCGGCATATGAAGAGATAGTGTGGTCAGCACTATGCCCAGCCACCTTTACTTTCCCTAACCTGAGTCAGGTACCCATCAGAGTTGGATGGACTCAGAGACGGTCTACTGACTTGAACCCGGATTCGAACTCGAGACTTACGGGTTAGCAGTCCAGCTCTCTACAGCTAGACCACTCCATCCCATCATAAGTTATCATAAAAGTAACTAAATACTACACAAGAATGTTCAATCAAATTGTATCAATCAGATGGAGTGCCTCATAGAGACTTTATATTTAAGATATTAACAAATACTGTTTATATTTTTTCTTGAAGAAACTTTCCAGTGTGAAGTTGGCAGATTTGTATGCTGACTTGGTGATTCAAGATAAACAGGAGGCTCACCTTAAGAAAGTCAAGGCTGACAAGTTAGATAAAGATGGGAGTTTAGAAGCCAAGGTCCTCACAAGTTACCAGCGTAAGTCAATGTATTTCTAGATTTGTAAATATTGTAAATATATGAATTTTAATAGTGTGAAGCAGATTTTTTACTCATTTTTAATTGTTAGCCCCAGCATCTCAACTGAATTTTTTTTTAAAATCATTTAGGTATTGTTGACCAATATGGTTTAACAGAATTTTACTCAAACAATGAAATTCCTAAACACAAGTGGAATGAAAAAGACACAGAGTTTCGTGATCCTAAGCTACAGTCTATGTGGAGACGAGCAGAAGAAGCAGGATTTTCTGGTAAAGATTTTTCAGACTTGATGTATTTCTTTTACCTTCCCCTTCATCATACACCACCATTAAAAGATAGATTTGTATCCTTTCATGTAATAAAAAATAGTTAATTTGTATATAAGAGACTTAATATCTGTATTGTTTTTTACTTTTGAATTTTCATGTTAAATATTTTGTTTTTCTTTCTTTTCCAGAGAAAGATCTAAACATGCTAAAAGAAGAATTTATGCACCAACAGATGAAAATTGAAGAGTATGACTTTGTACATCGTGAACTTGATAATGTAGCTAGTAAGTTTTACCTATAAAATCAAACCAATTTTAATAAACCGTTATTGTGCGAGCCATTTATCACAATCATCCATAAAAGTGTTGGAGCAGTAGATATTGCAAAATTTTAGTATTCTTCCTAAATGTATAATAGAGATAAAGTAAGTTGATGTATATTTTCAGATCCCAATGATAATACCATTGACAGAGAACAAAAAAATTTAGACTATTCGGAGACTGAGAGTGAAGAGAGAAAAGCTGCAAAGAAAAAAGCCAAAAAAGAATTAAATTACGGTTATATTAGACTGGAGCATTTGACTTCCTCCTTGATGAGTGAAGAGCCAATGTTTAAAGATGCCAGGGTACACAAGCTGTGGGCTTTGGCTAAAAAAACAAACTGGACAGAAGAGGAACTGAACAGTTTCAAGGTGTTTATATTACATAACTCTTCAATGTAAAGTTGTAACAAAACTAATCATGTTTCTGACGCCATTAGCAAAAGCTTAAACCCTATTTAACTGGTAAATCTTTTAACTTTAGTAGTAGTCTTAACAATAACATAGCCCTAATCCTATTTCAGGCCCCAACTCTAAACTTGATAATACAATACTACTAACAACATAACACACCACTGTCTGACGCTGGATTGTTGTTGCAATTAATTTTTTTAATTTAAAGTTTTTTATAAGACATTTACCTTCATTAAAGGGTGAACTAAAACACTTTGAACACAGACTGCTGAAGCAAGATTATTATAAAGAGCAACTGGAAATGTCCCAAGAAGCATTAAAAAGTTCTTCACATGAAGGGGGTGAAATCTTAGAAAAACACCAACATCTGGAGGAGAAACACAAGCTGATAAATACAAGGGTTAGTTTTTACCTGTGTCAAAACTGTTTTTTGAAAATTGCAATTACTTGTAATTCTACGGCACCTTTTTTGTCAAGTAAAAGAATTTACTAGGTTTCTTTTATTTAATTGTGCTTCTGAAGTCTGTTTCTACTTAGTTTAAACACATTTTCTTAAACAAGCATCATAAATATTTTTTAACCTATTGAAATTTGTAATTCATTTTCTAAAAAAATACTAAGCAATGTCACTTTTGTTCAGGTAAATAAATTCCATTCTGAGCTGCAGTCAAGACTAGAGAAAGCTTTACAACACTCAGAGCTGTGATGGGATCAATTGATGTTTGTATAAATCTAGTCCAGCCACCAGTACTTACACTGTCTATATTGTTTGTCCTTTGAATCCAATAGATGATGGACCTAATCTATTACCATTAGCTAATTCCTTTTGCATGTCAAATAGTAGGTTTGAAAATATGTATTTGGGATATGTGCAGAAAATCAGTAAAATCCTGATTTTGTTTGCTTAAATGCAATTTTAGATTCTTTGTCCATTTTTTAATTTAGAAAAAAGTTTAATGTAAGTTTTTAAATTGTGTTTAAAATGCAATTTTTATGACCCGACTAATGAAAATGTTAAGGACAGCTTAAACCCCATAATTGATTTTTAGTAATTAGACTTATTTTACCTAGTTTAAATAATGTAGAGTGACTACAAAATCATAAGAAAAGCCAGTTTTAGCTGGCAAGTATTGTATACATTCATTAAAAAAAAATTAAGTCTTGAAATTTGGTGAAAAAACAGACTTGTTTTTGTACCAGAGTATAACAAAAACTAACGAAGATACTCAAATAAAACTTAGCACCAACATTATTTATTCCCTTAAAAATATAATGAACTAAAAAAATTTAAGTTGGCATATCAAACTTGGGTGTTTCTTTTTACATTTTTAGTCACAGGGCTGAAAATTAACAAGTGTGGGGTCCAAGAAAAAATTGTTTAAAAAAAAAATCTATAACAGATACAGCTATTATTTTAGCACAATTTGTTCTACTAACATTCAGTTAAGTGTGTGCAGAATTTAGTACAAGTATATTGAAAATTGTTGGAGATTTGATGTACACAATAATTATTTTTCAATGTGGTTTTCTCCAAAATTAATGACTAAATTTCTTTTTGGAAGTATTTATAAACAAAAGGTGTGTTTCCTGTGATATTTTCACCCCCCTGCTTGATTTAAAATAAGTAAAGTAAGTCTATTTTCAAAAAATCAAATTATGAGGTTTAAGCTGTCCATTATCTCAGAAACAATTGAATTTTGAAAGCTTTGGGTGTAAATAAAACTAATTGCTTTTCCTGACCTACTTTTGATTAGATCTTGCTGTTTTTCTTATTTTGCAGTTTTTAAAATAAAAAAACCTTTTTTTTTTAATTTACAATACTATTCCCACCATATTTTTAGTATCTGTTCTTGGTGTTCTAATAAAACTTTTGTCACAAGGGAAATGTGATGGCTTTTTTTAAAATGTGGTAAAAAATATGCAAATTTATATCAATTTCACCAACTAGATTGCAAATTTTTAGCTTGTAGTTCTATCAAAATTGTGGTTGGAAAAGTTTGAATAATATACTAAAAGTACAAGCAGTGTAAATTTAATTGCTTTGTCTATAACTATAAAGAATTTAAAACTTTAATGTTTTTTAACAGTGCCAAAAAATTTACAGCAATACTGATGTTTTTGGGTTTCCATGACAATCAATATTGTTTTCAAATGCCTTTTTGTCAAGCATGGCAAAAGCATTCAAAAGGCTTCACATGTTAAATTATTTTTAAAAACTAAGCACATCCCATTAACAAGACTATTCAAATGATGTTTCTGTTATCAGGGCTTCCATTCATGTTTGTATACTATTTACTCATGTTTAAAATGAATGTAATTTAAACAACTATAAAACCTATAGGATTTGTTCATAAGCAATCCCCAATTAACCTATTTTGTATCACCATGTTAAATCTTAAAAATTTTCATTCATTTTCCTAGTAAATATCCTTTATCACGCATGTTTTTGTAGTTGACATCAGGTTTTGTATTCATGGTTTTATTGAGTATATCATCATGCATATTTCTCATACCAGCAAATATGTAGATACTTTTTATATAAGCTAAGCTACTGTGTATGAAATAAATTTTAATAATCTTCAGCGATAATGCAGCAGATTGCTGTAGCTGACAATTCATAATAAAATAGATCTGTCAGTATTTCTTAAATTTTAATAAAGAAATCTTAGAAAAATGCCTATGCTGTTTTCTTAAATCTAACTAAAGTGATTTTTTTTAAGGCAAATGAAGCTACATAATGGGGCTCTTTGCATATAAACAGTTAAAAACAATCCACTACATACAAACAATCTTGAAACAAGCCAACAAATTATATTATTTTGCTTTACTTTTTATTTTTGAATGTTTCAAAATGTCATATGCCCACTCCTCTCAAACCTTGGCCAAAACAGCCAATTTAAAAGAATGAGATGAAATGGATGAGAAAAAAGCCAGATAGGTTAAGACGATGTCCACACAAGGTACATCTAGTATGATTCAGTAATTGCTTGTGGTTTACCTCTTTATATAGGTCTCCACATGGATGTCAGAGGCTGTTATCAATCAAATTGGGGCAGGCCACCAATTTTAATTCTTAACTTTCTCAGTGTACACAACTGCTGTTCTAACCAGCTGTTTCTAACTATATAAGCAAGCTTTTAAAACTGATTAAAATGCACTCCTGATTTACATATCTGGAGATGCTAGAAAATACTATCTTCAATTTTATGCTTCTGTTTCTAGAATTTTAACTAAATTTAACTATTTCCCCCACAATAATTAAGAGCAAGAAATAAAAAACTTGTTTTTATCCACAAATACATACAAGGAAAGTGCTTTCCAAAATCTGAACAAAATATTTAAAAAAGATATTTTCACACATCTTTTTTTACTTTATTTTCCTGGCAGAAGTTGCTTTGTAAATGCAATCTTTTTTTAATTTAAAAAAAAAGTAAAAGAAAAATGTAGACAATAATAACATATACATTCTGCCAATGACACTTTCAGTTCACTGATTCCATGACTGCCATCTCTGGAATAGAATATAAGTGGTTTTAAAATGGTTAATCTACTATCAAAAAATTAAGATCAGTAGCAAATCAAAACAGAACTTATGAATACCTCTAGGTCATTTTGGTCAGATGGAGCCGAGGTCATAGCCGTATTCCAAAGGGGAGGTGTTTGTGAGTCACCAGCTGCACCCTTTGGATGATATATGTGCCCCATTGGATAAGGTCCATTTCCATACATTCCTTGAACCAACATACCTTGCACCTGAAATGGGTAGAAAAATTTCATTTGCTTGAATTAAAAATAAAAACTTGAAAAACAAATAATACATAAATAATAAAGTATGTATTAGTGGTGTGAATCTTCATGATTTAACTAAACATTTTAAAATGAAGAGAATATTTAACAACAAGCTTTATGGGCTAACTAAAAAGAAAGAAAATCATTATTTTCTTTGAACATTTTGTAATGCACCTTTTTTTTTTTATTATAAATAAAAAAATATTCTCAACCTTCAGCCATATTTGTCTACCAGTGTGTATGTATATATCAGAATAAAAAAGTATGTAGGCCTATTTACATTTGAGTTGAGTCTACCTATTTTAGCAACCTATGCTTATTTTTAATTATATTTTCTTATTTAAAGTGTGTAAGCTTATTATGAACAGATATATACATATGCAGTAATCCCTCACTACTTTGAGGTTCATTCAACACAGCCTAAGAACATTGCAGATTGTTTTAAAATATTAATAGAAATATTCAAAACTGAGGAATTCTGGAAAAAGTTTCCCGCACACCAGCAAAAGGCAGAATGCCCACACAATTCAAAATCCATATATCTGATTGGCTGGCTAGCTTCCCGCAATGTATTATCCCTCCCAGGAAAGGCCTAGACACTTCCCCAACCTTAGCTCTGATCTCCAGCAACTTAGTGTGAGTGAAACTTAGTCTTGAGATGTGTTATTTTTGCTGTTCTCTCGTGTCTTTTTGTAACCCCCTTGAAAATGTGCTCAGTAAGATCCACCCTCTAAATCTTCAAATGAAACCAAGAAGAGAAAAATGATGTCAGTGAATGAGAAAGTTTATTGGACACGAGATGACGGGCGACGTAGTATATGCCGCCATCTAGTTGTTTTATTTTCTGCTATCAGCAATTCAAAATTTGTGAATTCAACACTACTCCTCCCACCAGTGAAAGCAGCCGTTTACAGACAAAGAAAAGATCAATCAGAAATTTTTACCTCCCTTTCGTTTCAAATCGTTAAATACTAAATTATCTGCCCCTAATAGCCGTCACTAACCCGGCTCTACAATTGTAAACATTCGAGGTGAACCACAGTTCACCTGACAGGTGGGGATGAGAATTTTATATATATATATATATATATATATATATATATATATATATATATATATATATATATATATATATATATATACACTTAAGGCAGGACATAGCTATGCATCTATTGCACACAATTACTGATTAAAATAATTGTTCGCTATATAAAAAAAAGGAACTATCCATATAATTGCCTCGATATCGTTCTCTGAGGACCGTGTTATAAAAAAAGTAGTTTTACAGAATGTACACTTTAGTTGCATATACATACACAAAATAAACCGGGAGTGATCTCCCCTAAACTTTCTCGAATATTCTAATATAAAACTACGAGGAATGGCAACTCAGGACATAGACAATATTTGTAATCCATTTTTAATTACTTAAACTTTTTATAATAGATATAAATCTGGAAAAAAAAAGAATTGCACACCAAGTGAACGGCTAATAAAATGTGCATAATAGTGCGGGATATTAGTACTTTATAAATTTACATGGGTTTTTTGAGAAATTGGAAATAGCGTAAATTAGTACTTCTGGTCAACGGAAATTGCTCAAAATTTGACAGAAGGTAGAGAATTAGATCTTTTACTTACATGTGAAATTTCATTTATCTATCTGAAATAGTACTCAAGTTATAGGCTTTTGAAAAATTCAAAGTAGAAAAAGTACCACTTCCGGTTATCGGATCTACGATTTTGATAAAATACTTATATATGAAATTTCATCAACCTTGCTGTAACGGTACTCAAGTAATCGTGTTTACACAGACATACGGACAAGATTGCAAAATTATGTTTTTCCATATCAGTGAGGTGTAAAACGTCGAGATTTGTAAAAATCTCGATTTTTTTTTTTTTTTGCACCATTACAATACTTTCTCTTTACTTCGTATATACGAGAAAGTAAAAATGTACATATATTAAAAATGAGAAACTGCAGTTTTTCACTCAACGCTGACCATCCTGGTCCCCCTATTAAGAGCTATAATGGAGGGATTGCTGTATATATTTTTAAATTTTAGTACAAGAAACCAGTACAATCAAAAAAAGAAAAAAATCACACTATCTGACTGCATTGATGAATGTATGTATAATGGTAATCATGTTTTAAAAATTTATCAGATATCATGTCACATGACATTGTTATTGGAGGCTTGACTTCAACTTTGAAATAAATTGTTTCAGCTGAAGTAGGTGAAATTTTTATCACCAGACACCACTCCTGATAAAGCATTTTGTAATAATATATTATAACAGGAGTTAAGTTAGATCAAAGCTTGTGAAAATATGAAAAGCTGCAATTAAAGGGATTATTTTTTTCTTCTACCATTAATTAAATATTGAGATAAATATAATCCAGACTACATTGAAGTCAATGAGGGGTTATTTACATACACAAAAATTTAAAAATTAGTCAAAATTTGTGTTTAGCTGAGAGAATGGTTCAAATATAAATATCGAATAAAAAATCTTTAACGTTCAAAGTCTGTCTTGATAAACATAAATAGTTTAAAAATTAGTGTAAAAAGCAGTTATATTTTAGTTTAATGAAGCCAAACAGCATACATGGGCCATACTGTTGTGATCACCATCACTGCCTGGAACCCCTCCTGCATCTGTGTATTGTACCTGAGGCTGCATGTTGTATTCCATGCGTTCCTCTTCTGCATCTGGTATGCGCTGGTATACAATGCTGTTTGCTGAAATAGTCAAAATACAAGAATTAGGCCTATTAACACTGTCTTTTTTTAAAAAGTATAATTTTTTTTATATAAATATTAAAAAAAAAAATAAAAGCATTGCAGTATGTTAAAAATGTGGGATTCTCTATTTTTTTTAATGATTTGAATCTTCCCTCTACCTTCTGTGCTGACCATAGAATAGAAGTGTAAAATCTTAAAAACATTTGGTAGATTTTGTGTTACCAAAGAGTATCTTACCAGAGCTATTATTATAATTCCAAAGAGTTCCAAAAGAAGGCGGATTGGTAACTGGCCTTACTGGTCCTTTCTTTCGTTCACCTCCTATCGGTTGGATAGTTTTGTTAAGTTCCACGGGTGGTGTTCTTGTTGACAATGGGGAACCACTTCTGGGACCACTTAACAAACCAGCATCTATTTAAAAAAAGGTGTAATAAGCAAACTACGAAGTGAAAAATAACAGATCCAGGTAAACTACTGCTATCATAATTTGTACAAGATTTTAAAATATTGCATTTGAACTTATATATTAATTTTTATACACCTTGTGTTGATTATTCTAGATATTTATAGTAGAACTAATTATTATCTTTTCCCCCTTGGTGGGCAGATAAAGTAGAGTTTATGTGTTTCAATGACATCAGCATACTAAGGGAAAATGTGGTCAGTACTATGCCCAGCCACCTTTGTTTCCTTAACGCTAGTCAGGTACTCAACAGAGCTGGGTGGATTCAGTGATGTCCTACAGTAACAATTCTGAATAAAATCCAATCCAAACCAAGATCTTAGGGCTAACAGCTTAACGCTTTACCATTCGACACCATCCCCAAAACTAAAAATTACAGCATTTTAAGCGTAATTACCTAATACTTTTGAACGTTTGAACGACTATATATTGCCATTTAGTTCAGACAAAAGTATTGTACAAGAATTATTTGAAAATATTTGAAAAAATTTATCTGTAATTTACCATTGTAATTGCAACTTAAGATACTTTTATCTTAAATTATTTTTCAAGCAAAATGTCTAACCTTGTGGCATAGAAGGAGCACTGTTGGGTCTTCCTACTGGCAAGTTTTGCATAGGAGAATGTGCCCTCTGTGGTTGAGACTGGGAAAGAAAGCTAGGACTAGAAATTCCACCTGGAGAAATGCCGGGTTGACCAATTAAACCCTGAGGTGGGGAACTGTGTGATAGTGATCCAGGGTTGACACCAGAATTCATGCGATTTGTATTATGTTGCGGCGGACTGCCTCCATTATTAGCATTAACCAAGTTAGCTTGCTGGAGGAGATACTGCAGACTTTGAGCTTGTCCTAGCATCTCTGGTGGCATCATTTGAGGTAAATTACCTGGAAAATACATGTTTTTAATCAACATCTAAAGCTACTAATTTTGAAATTTATTTGGAAACAATGAAACAACATGAATTTAAATGAGAAAGTCACTTTAAACAAATGAAGCCAAATGAAACTATTCTATTACTACAAATGGGCCTATTCCAGCATACTTAGACTATCAAAATATCTTTCCTTAAACATTGAAAAAGTAATTAAACAAATCTGTCAGTTTCTATACACTCTTTATTCTGCCTTCAACCTATATAAAGAAGGAAGCATGAATTCAGATTGAGGTCTGCAATTGATGTTTTAGGTTTCAACTTCTAAAAGTTCAAAGAATTTAGAATGCTGATTTTTGTTATGTTTTCAATATTTAATTGCCAGTACAGATGACACTACAGAAAGTAAAAACGACAGATTCAATGATACAACTGCTTTGAGTTGAGCAATATCTTTTCTGGCAAACATAAATTTCTCATGTTTGATCAAAATATATATATATACCAATTTTAAGACAATTTGTGAAAAAAGTTGAATATTAAAGCAAACTCAAACTGATCTTAAAACATAAAACAAGGTCTGCAATGCAAACTTAAGTACGTAAAAAAAGAAACATTTTAAATATTAATTAATATTAACTTGCAAATCAAATTTCTGATTTTCCTTTAACAAAAAGTTTTTGGAAATAAAATTAATCAAGAATTTGTAAAAAAAAAATTGATAATTTTTTTCCTTAAAAAAAAAAGGTCATTAATATTTAATAATACTCAGCAAATCACACATTCTTAATGCAAATACGTGACTCAGCGAAGACAACAATGAAATTTATTAAAATATTGATTTTACACTTAATTAGTAAAGTGAAATTTTTTAGCATGTTCACATTGATCAAAAATGTTTAAATTTATGCTAATTTTCAGACATCAATACTAGCACTTTAATTTCTTAGTTTACTATTTTTATAAGCAATACAACATGGGGGACAGGTTAATTGTGGAGAGCCAATATCTCCTCATTGCACTTTTTAAATTGTGTTGTAAACACCAAAGATTAAGTAGTTAAATTTTCAAAAAACCTCAGCAGAAAAAAAAGTCAATTTGACACACATGCTGTAGTAATAAGATTTAGAAAATATGCAAGTATAGAACATAGATAATAGTTTGCAGGTCAGATTAGAAATATGAACTTTGTTCAATTATTAATAGGTAGTTACCTTGATTTAAGTTTGTCATGACAGAGCCAGGATTAGGGCTTGCATTGGGGCTTGGACCCTCAGGAACTCCTACTACTTGAGGTCTACCATCAGGCATTCCAATATTCACCATACCAGATAACAAATTGCTTGTGGATCTATCATAGCCATTCAACATTTGTGGACCCGTACTTGGCAACTGAAACTCAGGGGCATTTGGATTAAGAGCACCTTTGATCTCTGGTAAAGTCATAGGTCTGTGAGGCTTGCTGTATTCTTCTTTTTGGGGCAGTTGTTGCTGGCCTGGCGGCATTGGGATTCCTATCATATTCTGTGGGAAATGAGTAATAGGTATTCCTCCACTCATATCCATTCTAAGATGAGAAATCATAGCATTATCTTTATAAGGATACTGCTGGTTAAAGTGCTGTAAAAGCAAATTCCTGTAATTTTCATGATCCATATATGGATGCATATGCATTCCATGTCGGATTCCTGGATTCATGCCCCCAAGGCCCATTCCGGGTACATTGCCCATTGCTGGTATGCGGTAATTTGCCATGTTAGATTCCTGCAAATCAGAACGGTAAGGAGGAGAGTTACCCCGTTGAATTTTATAACCAGGTGCCTTAGCTTGCAGTTGTGGGTCAACACCATTATCATTTGTAACAACTGAAGTAGGGATAGATGTTGTTTGAGTGCTGGGACTGGTTGTGACAACGCCTGCTGCAGCCACACTGGCAAAGTCCATTTTGTCTGCCTGTTCTTCTTTCTTAGCAAGGAAGCTCGTGAACAGGCTGTTGTTGAAGGGGGAGTACTCTCCTGGTTGATTGGCAGTATTCCCTTGCTGACTATTGCGGTCAATATGATTTGTGGCTCCACTGGTGACGATAGGTAGAGGCATCTGTGACTGCATCTGCCCTGGCCGGGCAAATCTAACATTGACAGTGGTAGGACTCCCAAGTGCAGTTTTGATTTGACTTTGCATCCTGGGATCCTGTGATTTGGGGTGAACTGAGCTGGACATAATAGTACTACTAGACACGACTCCTCTCATAGTACTAGTTGCTGTAGTACTAAAGCTAAGAGAAGCAGAGCTAGTAGTTGACACTGGAGAAACTGATCTTTTCCGATCACCACCAAAAGTCAGCTGTCTAGCTGAGGATTTTTCAGAGCTGGATGCTGTAACTGTCCTGACACCAACTAAAGACGAATTAGGTGTCACTTGTTTCTGGGGACTTCTTCGGGGAGAAGGTGGTGGACCCTGACCAGGAACAGGATTTTGCCAGGCCCCTATAGTTGGCCCAATAGAATTAGACGTGGAACTTGAAGAGCGGCCAGAATTTGATTGGTTTATTCCTTGCCTGACTGATTTTGAAGGGGCAGGTGACTTGGAAGTTGTTGTAGATGTGCTATGAGATGAAGTAGTGGGTATTGTAAATGTTCCAATGGCAAAATCTGCAATTGAAACTGGGGTTTTCTGTGGCTGAGTCTTTTCTACTTGTGCTTTCTGCATCTTGGCAGCACGAGCGAGTAGTTCTGAGATATCTTTATCAGGTTCCTCAATCATTGCATTTATCAAATTATTTGCATGACGAATAGCCTCCGGATATCCCCTGAGTAAATAAAAAATAATATAGGTCAGCCAACGAAAGAAATTTTTTAAAATTACAAAAAATGCTTCAATTAACATTTTTTTAATGTTTTAGATATTTTTGCAATGATTAAACTTACTTTATTGTTACTGTTCTTTCTGAATTTCCTTTAGATTTCTCAACCTCCACATGTGCCCCTGAAACTTCTCTTATAGCATTGATATTGCAACCTCCCTTTCCAATAAGGCGTGATATCACATTAGCTGGCACTGAAAGCTTTTTTGACCTTGAAAAGTTTAAAATACCACATATTAAAAATATTTTGTAATTAGAATAGCAGCAATAGCATTTAGTTTTATGAGAAAAGCATGCAAGTTATTTAAGGCAAATAATTCAGCTAGAAAGGATCTAAAACAATCATTTAAATAATGAAATTCATATATATATATATATATTTATATATATATGTATATATATGTATATAGTGTACATACATGTATATATATATGTGTATATACATGTATATATATATATATATGTGTATATGCATGTATATATATGTATATACATGTGTATACATGTATATGTTACGGTCAAAGCCCGAAGTGCGGCCAAACCCCGGATTGGCCGGCTCTCTTGGCCAAAGCCCGAAGAACTTAGAACTAAGATCGTATTTCGTACATTGGCCGGCCAATGCGCGTACTGGCCAAAGTCCGAAGTGCTTAAACTAGACAACATATTTTGTACATTGGCCGGCCAATGCGCGCATTGGCCGGGATGTCCTGGCCAATGTTCTATCTAGACTAAGTTGTGATCGCGTTTTCATTATTCTGGGTGCGGTTTCATTGTGAGTAACGTATTGTTTAGCTCTTGTTTGTACAGCTCATTCTTGTGGATCCTGTGGCAAAGATGTCCATGCTATTTGTGGAGTACCCAATGAAGCAGACGAAGGGTACGGAGGGAACATTACCTGCAGATTGTGTCACAATAAACAAGACATCATGGAACTCAGGTCAGCAGCTCATACTGGCTTGCAAAATCAAGGTGCTAAGATGCTTATAACATCAAATACAAAATTTAAAGATGGTGAAGTGGGTGACAATGTACGCATCCGTTTTCCAGATGTAGACAGAGGTCACGGTGATCCCCGAAGCGTGATTGCAGTTGTCATGAGCGTCGAGGGCGGTTTCTACAAATTAGGAACAGAACATGGTGTTCTAAAACAACTGTATGCTAGAAGTGAGTTTTTGATTCTTCACGAAAAACTGCTCTTATTGTCGTCAGTTGGCACTGGGGAAAATCACTACGAACCATCGCATCTTCACAATCATTGACTGGGGGCCAAGGCTACACTCGCTGCAATTGCACAACCAAGTGGACAACAAATCGCTGCAAGTTTAAAAATAACAAGCTGCTATGTAATTTTAAATACCATAAAAGTTCAACTTGTTGTAACAAATGATAATATTGATTGATTAAGACTATAGTACAATACAAAATTTGAATGTTTCTGTCATTTACTTAATTTCATGATCCTTACGGCATTAAAAAACCCAAAATCTGCTCATGATTTTCTAATTCGGACTTTGGCCGGTCGTCCCTAGCCAGATGATCTTCTAATTAAGACTTTGGCCGGTCCACCATGGCCAGTCTGCGGATTGGCCGGCCAAAGGCCGAAATCAAGCAAAGTTTCGGACTTTGACCGACTTATGGGAGGCGATATTGGCCAATGCGCGGATTGGCCGGCCAGTCAGCGCATTGGCCGACTTCGGGCTTTGACCGTAACATATATACATTTATATATATATGTATATATATGTGTATATGTGATATATATATGTATAGATATATGTGCTAACTTGTGTAAATTGCAAGGAACTCACATATTTTTACGCACAACTTCTTTCCACCCTTCTTCCTTTTTTTGACCTTTTCTTGGACTTGGGGCAGTGGATGACAGTCTGTTGTTTGTCTGACCTTTTTCATAGTATCTATACTCTTCTATCCAGTCTTTCTTGTCATTAGGGCTGTTGTGAGAATGTAATATATATTCATAGTGAAACAAAGTATCATGTGTGCATCTTAAAATTGACTGATACATTAAAAATATTTTTTAATTTCCGTGGCACAAATCTTATTTTGATATAACTGATGTCATAGAGAGATTTATTTGAAATAAACTGAATGTAGATGTAGAAAATTATAAAATAAATGAGATAATAGCATTAACTGACAAATGTGTTATTGCCATCTGCATCACAAAGTCAGACCATCTCTGTAGTCACTCAGTCTGATCAGGTTATAAATATTTCCACCAGTCATTTATAATTTCATATTACCAGACATGATTCTATGTAAGCATGTGATTTTATTAAAATGTCTGCCTTAAAGGTCTCAAACTAGACCATGGCCAATAAGCAAGAGTTGCACGTTGTGAATTTGCACACAACTAAAATTTTGTACATTTGTATGATTTAAAAGGCAAAAATAGGATTAAGAATTCCTCTCCCCAATAAAAACCCAACAAAGTAGTGCAGAGTGAAAGGTCAAATAGTTTATTTTATGTATGTAAACACTAATATGTGATGGATATTCACCTGATCAGGCATGAGGAAATAGAATTAAAAAGTTGCAATGAATGTCTCATCAATAAACTTACTTCAATTTTTTTATATTTACGGAGCGTCCATTAACCTTATCAAAAGACTTCAGTACACTGGGAATCACACCAAAGTCATCCAAGTCTCCAATACCTAAACATTGTTGAACATAACATGTTATTAGTTCATCTTGTTCTCTTGATATATTCAACCATCTTTCTATCTTTTCATTAAGTACTTTTTTAACATAATTAAATTAAATATGTATTTGTTTAAAAAATTTCAATTTATTCAATTAAAAACAAAATTAGTTATTTTTTAAAATTGAAAAGTCTTAATTTAAAGCAAACATTTTACCTGTGGTACTGCTATGCTTTATGATGTCGGATTTCTTTACACGAGGTTTATTTCCTCCATCACTAGGGCCGTTAAGATAAACCTCTTTGTTACTAGCATTACTTGCAGTTGAAACTGCCATGGGTACAGTACTATTCACACTATTGTGAACAGGTTTTGTGGAGCTACACAACTGCATCCCATGGCCGATGCTACTGCTCACTTGAGTAACAGTACCAAAACTAGCCTGTGATGTGATGGCAGTAACAGTAACAACAGACTCAATTAAAGTTGTTATTTTTGCAATCGTAACTTGTAAAGCTTGGTTGACTTGCTTCTTATTCATTTCTGCCTTCACACTCCTTAGCCCAGCATCCTGGTCACTGGCTTCCCTTCTGTTTTCACGTGCAGCTTTCTGTTGCTTTTTCCTAGCATCTCTATTGGCTCTTGCAGTAGCTGCACTAGGTATGACATTTGCAGTCTCCATAAGAGCAGGGGTAGAGGATGTTGATGAAGCTACAGCAGCAGTTGTCATGTTAGGGGGAAGTCTTGACACCTGTTGATTCTCCACAGAGTTCTGACTCTTAATCACAGATGAATTGGCAACCTTGGCTTTGTGATTTTTGTTATCATTTTTCCCACATGAAGCTAAAATTAAAGATAAAATACAATTTGATGCAACAGCAAAATAAACGTACCTAAAAAATGTTTAATGTATTTTTTTTGTTTAATGAAATCTTATTTTAGTAATGCTAAAAATAGTCAGCATTTTACCTAAGTGTTGATTGCACTTGATTCCACTTGGCATACCCAACATCAGATTAGGTTCAAAGTTACTGTCATCTTCATCATCATCATCCTCCTCATCATCATCCTTTTTGTTACAACTTAATTCACCCTCTGGTTCCGGTGAGGAATTTTTACCACTAAAAAGCAAAATTTAAAAAAACAAATTATTTGTGAAAAAAATGAAGTCTAAGTAAATACTTATGAGTTTAACTGAAATTTCTCATACCTATCTTTTTCAGGCTTCTCATCTTTTTGTTTCCCTTTTTTCTTACGTTCTCGTCGTCGCTCTCGTCTTTTGCTTGCCAATTCGGCTTTGAGGGCTGCTTGCTCTTTTTCTTGCTTTATTTCTTCCAATAAACTGTCAGCATTTTTATTAGCTTCAGCAGCTTGTCGATCTTTTGCTGACACTATAATTTCAGCACACTGATTGCACTTTTTTTGAAGCTCCTAAGTTTTGGAAAATAATATTAAATAATTACTTTGAAAAGAAGTAAAACACTCTTTAATATCTCATTAAAAACAAAGAAAAAAACTCTGCATACTTTGTCTGTTATTGTAGCAATGTATCTCTTGATTTCATTTTCAGAGGGAAATTGCGTGACCTTTTTCACCATCCATTTGACAACTTTGACATGACCTCGTCTGAAAGCAGCCATAAGGCATGAAACTTTTCTATTGTCTTGACTGTCAATGTCTGCATCAGCTTGAACCAGCAAAGAGACAACATCACTGTGCCCCCCTGTAAAGTAACATATCCTTTTTATACATGTATGATAGCACATGTCTTTGTTACTGTATATACCAGTACTATGAAAAGATATAAAACAACAATTATCAACAACAATGTAATTGATAAATTACACTTCAATTATCTACTTTAGTTTAACTATCGATGAGATATATTTTATTTCATTTTTTTTTTATTATTATGACTTAAAAGAAGAAATTCGTTAAAACTAATCAATTTTGAAACATTTTATAACATTACATTATGTTGAAACACTAGAAAAATACCATAGTGCTAATATTAAAATGAGTTTAAAAATTACAAAACGATTAAATACCATTGCAAGCTAGCCACAGGGGAGAGTTTCCTTTCTTATTCTTGACATCAACTGAAGCCCCTCTGTAAAAATTTTTGAAAAGTAATAAAATTAGCATAAATAAACTTTAAAACCATTTTTATCATAATTTTCTAAGTTAAGTGGTCACTGGTTAATAGTAAGATAATAAAAAAAAATTTTTTTTTAATTCTGAGGGTATAGTTTAACAAAACAAAAAAAAAGTTTATTCAAACCTGTGTAAAAGAAGCTCAACAAATCTGTAATGCCCTTTGTCAGCTGCAATGGTTAGAGCTGTATCACGAGAAGAAGGTACAGGGGGAGCATTGACATCTGCTCCTTTGTCCAGAAGAACTCTACCAACTTCAACATAACCACCAGAAGCTGCCTCCATCAATGGAGTAAGACCAGTCTAAAAAGATTAATAATTCTGTGAGAGAAATAAACTTCACTGGAGCAGAGGATCCCAATCCTTAGGAGGGCCCCCATCAAGGATAGAAAAAAAGTTAAAAAAAAAAAAAAGTTGCATTTCTGAATGAGTCTAGGGCAAAAAGGCTTTATACTATGATTTAACTTATGTTTTCATAGTTTTTATATGAGGGAGTTGGTCGTTACCCTCTACACTTCGGATGGTAATGTCAGTTCTATAGTAGATTCAAACTAAAAGAATACTAAAAAATCTTACCTTAGCCCTATGCTCAATGTTTGCCTTGCGATCTACAAGAAGGCTTACAACTTCATGTCGGCCCTGGAAACAAGCCAGTGTTAGGGCAGTGTTTCTGTTTGTTTCAATTTGAGCATTAATATCACTTCCCATATCTAGCAGAAGTTTGACAGCTGCAGTATGACCATTCATTGCAGCAAGCATCAGTGGTGATATTCCCAGTTTACTACCAGTCCTGTTATAAAACAAAAAAAAATAGATTTTCAATATGGAACTTAAAATTAGCTAAATTATTACTTTGACCCAGAAAATATTAATCGTAAACATTTTCCAGCTAATATCTATTACCTATTTTAGACTAGTATCAGGTTATCTTTACAATTTTATTTTGAAGTCAGTATTAAATTTCCTAACTGTTGTTAACTAGTAACTAACAATAAAAAGTAATACCTAGAATTAATTTCAGCATTATGGGAGAGTAGTAGCTTGATAATATTAACATAACCACCAGAGGCAGCTAAACTGAGAGGTGTATAGTCAGATACATTGCGGTGTTCTTTGTTTGCATTCCTATTTAATAGTAATTCAACAACCTGGAATTTAAAAAAAAAAAACATTTAAAATTATATTTAAACAAAGTAAACAAATAATTTTAATATGCATTTTTACAAGGAGCATTTAAATTATATGGTGTACTATTTAAAGATAACCAATTAAGTAGAATCAAGCAGTATTTTTTTTTAATATAATTTTCTCATAATGTATGTTTGGTGGCTAAATAAAATGTACTTAGATTCAGTAAAGTAGCCAACATTTTAAGATTGAGTGTGTGAGTGTATTGATGAGTAAAATTGTACCTTCAATGAAAACTTAAGGGGGCACACCACCGTACATACAAAAATTCACAAAAAAATTTTTTTTAAGAAGACAAACATATGTATTGCAGATATAAAGATATTTTATATTCTTTTAGACCAATGTGAATGTGTCATCAGCGTTAGCCGATAAAAAAATACAGAAATAAATGATTTAGACATATCATACTTCAATCTATAAAACTCAATAACCATTTAATGTATTGACTTTTAACTTCTAATTTAAATAAAGGAGAGGATTCCTAACAGGATAATAGATAGACTTTTTGAATATATGACAAAATGTTGAAGTTACAATTTTTTTGTTTTTAGATTAAAATATTAACCATGAAATCAACTTTGAAATTCTCTAAAAACAAAACTACTCAAGATAACCTAAAAAATTCTATATTACTCTAACTGTAATTATGTTGTGTTTCTACTGTACAAATTTCATTTAAATCCAATAGATAGTATTTGAGATTCATACTTTTGAAGTTTTAAAACTGGTAAAAAAACAAGATTGTGAGAAAAAGGGGAAAACGTGTTTGAAAATGAAAAAAAACTGTTAAACACTCTTTATATCTTATCAAAAGCTTATCATATAGTTTAAGCAATGTATACAAGATACTATAATCAAAGTTTCAATCAAATCAAGCAATAATTAGTCTTGGTAATTAGGTTTAATGAGGTGCACCCCCTAAAAATAAATTGTAAATAAGAGTTATCAAAAATATTTTTAAAATTAATAAAAGCTTTTAAAACAAATAATATCCTAGTAAAAGCTTATTAAATAGTTTTAGTATGTACAGAAGTTACTATTATCATTTGGTTTCTGAAATTAAGGAGTAATTATTCTTCTAAATCAGGTTTTATAAATGCACCCCTGAACAAAAAACTTCAAAACAGGTCAAGTAAAATTTACAAAAAAATTAAATTAGCTTACAAAAAAGCTACATAGAGGTACAGTATACAACTCTGAAAACATTTGCATAGTTACAGTAGGCCTAATCATTCTCTATTTAGAAAGCCGAAGAAAAATATGATGATCTGCCTTCAGCCTGAACTAGTTTCTGTTGGGCTATGGGTGAAATAACAGCCATCTTTCAGCATTACTAACTGTCATGTAATCCCATGATTGGGGCCATATGCCTAGATGCATGCAGAAAGACTTTCATTTGGGTTGAATCTATCATGCAACTGCTCAATATGGCATTTGTCGTCAGTTACTAATAAACATTTTGGACAGCTTTGGCAACATGTTCTAAGATGAATGATGAACCTTTGTGAGATAGCGGTGTTGAATTATGTACCATGACACATTTGCCAGAAGCACCAGGAGGTTTTCCCTGTCTGGCAATCCTGGTGTGTGTCCTTTCATCTGTCAAAGGGACATGATTAGAAGGAGCTCCAACTTTCCACCTCAGTTCCCTGTACTGCCAGTCTTACTTGAAACTGCCTTCTTGAAGTAGGTCTGGAGATTTTTTTTCAGCTGCTGAAATGAGATTGAGACAATATACTGATCTATACATTCTAGCTATCAGAGTGATTTCAAGAATTCAAACAAGTTTGACAAATCCTAATACCTGCGTAAGACTTCCAATCTATCCACTCAGTGCATTACGGCGATTAGACTGCAGAAGCACTAAATTTTCTTTGCGATGGTTGGTGGAAGTAGTGTAGCTGCAACCGATGCATGTGCACTGAGATGCAGGTACTGTAGGTGCATCTAGTGCATCTGTGCAGTCCCAAGTGATGTGCATCAACCCTAGCAAGCTTGGCAGCACTAGCTTTGAGACTTCAGGCATTGACTGTAAAAATATTTAAAAATAATAAGGCATAGGACTTATTGTTATTTCTAGATCTATCTATTATTCTATTATAAACTATTGTTTGTATTTATAGACTCATATTTACCTATTTAGATCTGGACTAGAATCTAAATTCTACTTCTAGATCTTGATCTAGGTTTTAGATTTAGAATCTCCAATCTAGATCTAGTTCTAGATCTAGAATAGATGTAGAATCTAGATTCGAGATCTAGATCTAGAACGACTCATTATCGATAAGGAATAATAGTCCAAGTTTATTGATGAAAATACAATTAATAACTATATTTTAGAAAATAATTTCAGTAAAATAGTAATTAAATCAAATCTTACCGTAAAAAGAAGCCAACAAACAAAAAATATGCACTTATTTGATAAAAAAGAAGCACACAGGTTCGCAGATGTCGAGTAAAGGAAGTCATGCGCTGAGCAAAATAATAGCCCGTATCTCGGCAACGGGTAACATTTCGGTCATATGTCGCCTTGACATGAGCTAATTTTAGTAACTTACAACATGGCTTCGCCTGGTAACCAATGGGAATACAGCTTTTCTTATTTCCATCATGCATTCACCTCGCGATTTCTATTTTAGTATTTAAAACTAGGTCAATGTATTTAGGTTATTTAAATGAGCAATTGCAAGCCAGTCATTCTGATATACGGCTTGCTATGCTAGGTCGCTTAGTTAAGAATCTACAGGCATGTTTATGGAGGCCATTTTTCCGTAAATTTATATTTTTCCAGGCACACACACCTTCTTCAAATGCACAAATATGTATGAAAATGTCAATTTACAGTTAAAACGATAACGGCATTAGGTAAATAAGATGTTAATGTATAGAAATAAAAAAAAAACGAAAAAAAAATAAAAATAAAATAAAAAATCAAGCTGAGTACGGTGTTGTAGCCCCTTAAAAACAGTTGCTTATAATCAAATAATTCTAAACTTTAACAAAACAAATGGCAAACGTTTACCTCATATCTACCTCCTGAACAAGCCAGAGATAAAGGAGTATCTTTTGTTCTCTCAGATTGTGCTTCAATATCTGCATGATGATCTAACAAGATCTCTACCACATCCACATGCCCCGCAGTAGCAGACAAAATAAGGGGTGTAAAACCTTGGGAAGAAATTTAAAATAGTACAATACATTTAGCTAAATAAACAAATCACTAAATTGTATGACTATAATCAACTTTAAGTAATACTGATAGTAGTTAGATATTTTTAGTCTGATTTTGAGTCATATTTATAACTTTCAAAAGTCATTTAAGTTAGGGTACCATGCCAATGTTCACTAAGCTAAGAACACACTAACAGTGATTAATTAATGTAATGGCTCTGATTAAATAAATTAGTACAAGACTACTCCAAAAACTAAAATTACCTTTTTTGTCTCGATGTTCAATATCAGCCCCCTTGGCCAGCAAAAGAGTGACTAGTTCTGCATGTCCCCCAGCACAAGCAAGTGTAAGAGCAGTATCATGATTACTTTCTGTTTGTGAATCCACATCAACAGATGAATACAGAGTATTAGTTGACATGCCCATAACTTGATTAGGTGAGGAGCTTCCATTAGTGATATCCAAATTAGAGATAGCATTCTGATGATTTGCAGGTGGAGTTTGAACTACTCGTTGCTGCTTTCGGACCTACATAATTTTTCAACATTTGATTTGTTTTGCTTAGTATTAAAATGTAATTAATTTACTATAACCAAAAAAAAGATTGAAATACAACTTACCACCTGAGGTTTGCTGGTAGCTATTGTGTGATTTACTGAACCTGGTCCTTTGAGTTGCTGCAATTGTTGTTGCAAAAGCTGTTGTGCACTTTCTTGCTGTTTTTGAAGCATCTGCTGTTGATGCTGGGAAAGGTGAACAGGGTGATTTGCAGTTATTTGAGTGTTCACATCACCTTGTATAATATGCTGGTTTGGCTGAGATTTGTTATTTATTTATTGGGAAGGGGTTGAAATAAGAAAAAAAAAAGTATGTTATAAGCACACATAAGTTCGACAGTAACAAAAAACTAAATATCAATAATTAAACAATGTGTTATAGATATTTTTTAAAAATGTTAATCTGAAGGTTTTTTTTAAAATGAATCAGATTGTGAAGGTGCATGATTTAAGAAATTTTAAATTATGTATGATCTAAAAACAAACCTGTTGGGAAATATGTTGCAACTGTAACTGCTGCAAATTAGGCTGATTCAGCATTTGTATTAGTTGCTCCTGTGGTTGGGGCATCAACTGTGGATAAGCCAGCTGAGGCTGCTGGGATGACACTGGCAAAAGAATTTGCTCAAAGTGAGGTGGGAGAGAACTGATCTGTTGTTGGGATATTGATACCGTCTCAGCACTTGGTGAGGCTTTAAACAGAAAAACAAAATTGTTTCAAGGATACAGCACAACAAAATAATTACCAATAGGCAACTGTAATAAGTACATGAATGTTCAATTAAAAATCTTACCTCCATTATGCTCAGACTGAAAAACAATATGTTGAGCTTGAGACTGGCCCGCTGCAGGAAGTGAATGAACTGAAGGTGGAGGTGGGGGTGGTGGAGGTGGGGGTGGTTGCTGTAAAGGTTGAGTAATTTTGAATGTACGTTGAACTTTGTTAGCTCCATTTCTTTTACTCCCTTGGCTCTTTCCCCCTCCAGGTCGTCCTTCTGTGGTGGAGCTTGGTGTTGTGGTAGTTACCAGTGTGGGTGATGGTGGAGGTGGTGGTTGCCCTTGTTGTTGCAAAAGAAACTGTTGTTGATGCTGCTGCAGATGAGCCTTGAGAGATCAAATTTCACTTATTTAACAATGTTAATAATGAATTTAAAATAAAAGAACTCTTTAAAGCATTTAGATTACATGAAGACTACTAATTATAAAACTTGTGGGGTGTACTTTTCTATGTACAAAATTGTATAAAATGAAAAATTTTAAACATGGTTATGTGAGTTGATTGTTAGCTTAAACAGCACCATCACTATAAGAGAAACATTTCAATGTGAAAACTTGAATCCTAACTTATTAGATACCATTTTAAAAGCCCTTTAATTAATTTTTTACCTGTAAATATGTTTCTGTGCAAGTTGCTGCAGATGGACTTAGCTCACTATAGGCTAAAAGTTTGGCGAATTCATTGAACTGCTCCATATTAAGAGGTTCTGTCATACCCAAAGTTTGACCAGGAAGTTCAAGAAGCTTAGCCAAGTCTTCATTTTGCTTGCCCTTCAAAATTTTTTTAAAAGAATGGTTAAAAGACCTTTAAACAAAGAAAAAAAAAACACTGTACACAATATTTTCAAACATTTTACATCAGAATAAGTCAAATGGTGTCGAATTGTGTTGAGAAAAAATTATCCTAAAGTTAAAACAGATCTATCACTAAATTTACTAAGTAATGAGCTATTTTATTTAATAGCAATGTTATACTATTGTTACCAGTAATGTGAAAAAAGATGCAGACATAATCATATCCTATTTAAGACATTTATGGTAGAAATACTTTCAAAGTATTTCATTTTCACTTGTACTGCTAAAAGTGGATGTGTCAAAGTATCAACTAGTAGACCTATGTACTAGTACATTCATAGGGACTTCAATTTATTAAATAAACATGTCAATTCTGAAGATAGTAAAAGATGATCTTGAAGTTTATACTATGCATAATTTGCTTACATTTCTGACATTTAAAAACTGATTGGGAATAATGTTTGAAACTAGCTAATTTTGTAATAGAAAGAGAAATGACATCATAAATAAACTTGACATCATAAATAAACTTGACATCATAAATAAACTGTTTTTCTTTTAATGTGCTGGTAAGTAAAAGTAGTTGTGCAATTGTATAGACAAATGAAAATCTATACATACAAAGCAAAGCACATTTCCATATTTTAATAGAAAAAAAAATTAGTAAAATGAGCTAAAATTAATGTGTAATAGCCATACATTAATTTTATTTCCTTTAAATAATTAAGATAAATTGTGATATTACCCCAGCATTTGCAGCTAGAGCACTGTTGGGGCTAGTTATTGCTGGCAATGGGGAAGTTGGTGTTTGTTTTAACTTAAGTGACAAATCAATTTCTGGTTGTGGATTGAATAGTAATTGAGCTTGAGCTTTTTCCTGAAGCTCTTGTTCTAATTTCTTGATGCTCAGTTGTTTAAGGTTTTGTTCTTCTTTTGCAGCCTGGTTTGTGGTCATTTTTTCATCCTAAAAAGGATTACAATCTATTAATATTCTTACTTCAGGCTCATTTATTCGTAATCCCCAGTAGTTTAGGACAAAATTTAACTCAAACCCCTCCCTAACAAATATTAATGTTAATTGAAAACAATAGAAGAAATTGTAACTTTAGATCCATGTAATACTATGTCTTGTTAGTATTTATTCAAAGTGGGGCTTATGTAGAAAAATGGCTTTTTATTTTACAGATTAGAAGCAAACAAAAAGAGAAACAAAAGAGAAAAATAAAACAAAAATGCAAATTTTTTTTTAAAATGAACAACACAGATGACAGTACACATTCAATAGGAATTTTGTTTAACTTTTAATAACCTTATCAATTGCCTTTTCGTCCATCAAACCAGTGTTATTAAAATATTGTGGGTAATTTTCAGGTACCACAGCATTACAGAATTTATTTCCACTCTTTGCATCAGTCTGAACACCATTTACTCTCTTGCTAACAGACTTTTGCATGCTTTGACGAATGCTTTCTGGAGTCTTTGCTGAAATAAGACAAATTTATTTTTATTAATATAAAAATTATAATCAAAACAACTTTGAGATAATGAAACTGCACAACTGTAATGTTAGCCTAAGTTGAGGTTGATTAACCAAGTCAAACACAGCAATAGACAATATTTTACTTTCTCCCTTATTTTGCAAAGAATGCAAAAACAATGTACAAAAAACTGGCGGAGTAGTTTGCATTATATAACAACTTTAAAGAATGCTTTAAAAAGAATAAAAATCATTATAGGTCAATAACAAGTCAATGAAATAAAATGCATTTAATAGCATGTATACCTTGAATAGCTGAAGCTAAGCTAACTGGGAGCTGAGAATCTGGTTCACTAGGTGGTACAATATTGGCTAGTCCTTGAACAGGAACTCGAGGCTATTAGTAGTAAACAAAAATAAGATGTAAAATATTGTATTAACCCATTTGAATTAAAATGTTTATTACAACATAAATACAAATGGCTTTATATTATTTCAAATTAAATAAATTGATAAACTAAAAGATCTATATTATCTTACTATTACCTCTTCAACTGGTGCATCTGTCACACTTAGCTGATGTAACTGATCAGTTGCATTGTTAATAAAGCGGTTAGGCCACTCAAGCAAAAGTTTGACAACTTGGGTGTGTCCACCTTTTGCAGCTTCAATTACCATAGTTGAGCCATCCTACAAATTATAGCAAATAAAGAAAATATATAGAGCATTATACATAATAAATGTAATAATTATATTAGTTATACTAATTGTGTGTTACAAAAAACCCATAAGCTCGCGTTGTCGGGCAATTATTAAGTGTGGGGCACCAAACATATCTGCCATCAGAATGCATAAAAGATTTATTTTTACGGAAACTTTTGAACTTACCAACCAGCCTTTATCTTACTAAAAAAATTCATATATAACGTTTTAATAACAAGCTTTTAAGTAATAATGCACTAAAAAAGCGTTAAATAAAAGCTTGTAAAAAGGCAATGCTAAGTTTAAACATGGAGGTTTATTGCCTTTATAAATCAAGTTAACTCAAATCTATCGTCATTTAAAGACAAGTGAAACACTATAATATGGTAGTCAAAATTATTTAAATAAAAATTTTTTTTAGCATTTCTGGAAAAAATATATTTATCTAAATACTTTATTTTGTGAACTTTTCCTAAATACTCAGTTAATTTTTTTTTTTAATTACTACAACAATTATTAAAAAGCCAGCTTGACCAGTAAATGTATGTATCACAATGCAGTATTGTAGATTTAGTTCAAAGTGTGTAGTTGAGAATTTTAAAACTGATCTTTTCCAGCCTTTGTACAAATCCACCATCTTGTTTAAAAAAAATTTTTAATTTCAGTAGAAATTAGATAAAAAAAATTCTTTTTACCTTCAACTTATGATCTAATTTTGCACCATGCTGCAATAATAATTCGACCACAGTCAAATGACCTCCAGCACATGCAAGGGACAACACAGTATGGTCATTTGAAGTTGTGCATTTATTTACATCAGCCCCTATAAAAAGAAGAAATGATTCTTATAGAACATTCTAGATTAATTTGACTTATAATTATTTGAGTTAGAAGTAGCATTAAGTTATTACCTTTACTTATAAGGAACTGAACTGTACATAGATGACCTGCTCTTGCAGCTTTCATGAGTGGTGTGCGTCCACCCTCAGACTCGTGTTCCTAAAATATAAATTAACTTCAACATTGAGGAAAGTGATTGAAACATACTATGCCTAACTCAGAAATAGAGCAAAAAGCAGGTAGGTGCTGTAAAGGTTAAAACTAATAAAATACAAAAAGTGGAAGTTAATATTTCCAACTAATAAGTCTTACCAATTTAGCACCACACTCTAGCAAAGCCTCAGCCACATCTGTATGTCCATTTTCACAAGCATATGTCAAAGCTGTGTCACCAGTTCCAGTCTGAGCCTCAACATTTGCACCTTTAAAATAAGTTGTCAAACAACTTTTTGAATACACCACTATAAATTTAATTAAGCACTCCTCTTAAAAGAGGATCCCTACATTATATTATTGAGATAAATCTATATACTTCTAAAACTCAAATTTACATGTTTGATAATTGGTTTTTTTATATTTTTGTTTGTATTGTTACAGGGGAGAATCTGCATTATGAGTAGAGCTGTAAAATAGTATTTGGGTAGAAAAACTATGTTCTTTTCTAAACACACTGTTAATCACAAACTAATTTAAAGACGTTAATTTATTAATATATTCATGGGTAGATTAACCACATTAATTATAAAAGTTCAGAACGATGACTTTACTTATAGTGATAAGTCATGTTACATGATTTATTTACTTTTTACAACAATTTTTTTCAATTATTTTTTTTTAGATGTGAATGATAAAGTTGCCTATTGGGACTTTGCGGAATACAGGGCAGGTGAAATAGAGTTCACCTGTTTCTTTGTCCTCAGCATATGAAGGGATAGTGTGGTCAGAGACAATGCTCGGCCAGAATCGTTTTTGAAACGATAAAAAACGTCTTTAATGTGATGATAAGTGACAGGCGTCATTTATGGATGACCCCCAAAACCCAGTTATCTAACTAGATAACAGGTAGTCTAGTTAAAAATAACAACTTATGAATTACTAGTGAACCAAGTTGAAAAATGAAAAAATAAATGGTTAAAAATATGTCAGTAAAACAAGAAAATAAACAAACCTGACTGTAACAAGAAAGAAACAAGTTCCAAGTGACCTTCTTGTGCAGCTTCCATGAGAGGTGTGCTGCAACCAAGCTCAATGAGAGCACCAGATCTCAACAAAAAGTCTGCCACCTCAAGAAATCCACCACAACATGCTAAAGTTAAGGCAGTTTCCTGGGTTTCTTCTGTCTGAGCATTAATGTCTGCACCTGCAAGTAAAGAAATATAAACAATAACTACCATATAAATTTATGATCTAGAACTTATTGTGAATAATTATCTGTGTAAAGTACCTTGAGATAAAAGCAAAGCCACCATGTCTTCATGGCCTTCTCTAGCAGCCTCCATCAGTGGTGTGTAACCCTCATCATTGACTTCTTCAATATTAGCTCCACGTTCAATGAGTAAACTGGCTAATTCAATGTGACCACCGCATGCAGCTAGAGTCAAGGGTGACTCAAAACTATCTGCTGGCATGTTCACCTAAAATTGAGAAAGTTCAGTATGTTTAAAGTTTCCCTTTCAAACCTGACGGTCTATGGGGAAAGTGAAGTAGAGTTCACTTGTTTCTGTGACTTCAGCATATGAAGAGATAGTGTGGTCAGTACTATGCCAATATGTTTACTAGTATGTTTACTAAATAAAAAACAATGATCGGAATTATTATCACATAAACTAAAGATTTTTTTAAAACTTACTTGAGCACCACTGTCTAACAAAAGCCTAGCCACTTCAACATGACCATCCATGGATGCTTCCATTAATGCAGTGTGCATTTCATCAGTCTTGTGCTCCTGATCAGCACCTGCTTCTAATAAAAATTTCACCATATCTAAGTGCCCTGAAAATAAAATAGAAAAAGAAATTATTTATATACATACACAGTAATAAAGAACAAATGTCTAAACATGTTACAAAAAATAAAATAAGAAAACAATTTTTGGTTACCTTTGTAACAAGCCAAAGTGAGCGCACTCTCTTTAAATTCATTAGAATGGGTGTTAATCCCAGCACCATGCTCTAGTAGAATCTTTGCAACTTCAACATGCCCTGCTGAGGCTGCTTCCATCAAAGGTGTGTGCCCATTTTCATTATGAATCTCAACATTGGCACCACTAAGCAACAGCTCTTGAACCACTTCTTTAAACCCTCCACACGCTCCATAATGAAGAGGGGTGTTACCTAATAAATATTTTTTTTTTTCAATTTTATATTAAAAAAAAAAGTTATTCACAGGCAGTTTTTGTTAATATAGCTTTTTTTTCTTCAAATATAACTGCTTAATTGTAATAGCTTTTTACCAGCAGAAGATTGGGCATTTATATCCGCATTATGAAGTAGTAATAAGCGCACAATGTCAACATGTCCACCACTAGCAGCTTCCATCAACGGTGTACAATCTCCTTTTATTCCTCGGTCTTCAACATTGGCTTTCATGGCAAGCAGGACCTATACAAGATTTTAAAAAGAGGTTTAACACCTGTTGACTAACATTTTAAAAAAAAAACCACTTAAAATAAAAATGATTACCTGAGCTAACTCATAATATCCAGCTGAACAAGCCAGTGAAAGAAGACTTTCACCTTCTTCTGAGGCATCAGCAACATTGCCTGAGTTGGAACGATGAACAAGGGACTCACTCTCTCCATTAGCTTCAAGTTGCATTCTGCAATAAAGATGATTAAACTAACATGAGCTTACATGAGTGTTTTCAATTTTATACTTTATTTCTGAAGGTAAACATTAAAGAAATACATGATCTTTTTTTAAAGAAAAAAAGTTAATCAAACCACTAAAGGTATTTAAATTGATGTTTTTCTTGGGTAAAAATTGATGACTGACCCATCAGCAGAAACAAGTTGTCCTTGAGAATCTCTCATGCGATGTAATGCCTGGGCAGCTTCATCAAGTGCACTGCTTACAGATGAGGTAAGTGTACGCAGGACTTCTGGATCTGACAATGCTTTGCCATCTTTGGATGACAATTTGCTTATACCTATTGATATAAAATAAAATGCAACTGAGAAGTCCATTTCTACAAAGCTTTAGAATTTTTTTTTTAAATACAGGATCTATAAAATAGAAATTATTTATAAGCATTACACATATGTACAAATGGTACCACTAATTATATTTAAACCTGTAGTCTAAGGCATTGATCTCTACTATACCAGCTATAAAAAAATGTGGGTATGGTTTTATAAATACAATTCTTTAAACTTAATTCACATTTATTTTTAAAATGGATTAGAAAGAAAATCTTATTTTGCTGGTAAAAATACCTGCAGCTTCTAACAATGCTTCTAATCGAGCTTGTGTTTGTGGATCTACAGTCTGAATACCCTGACCTTCAGCCTCTGCAGCCAATAGAAATTTTGATGCTTGCTCACCTTCTTCAATATCATTTTCATCTAAAATGAAAGAATCAACCTGTGAAGGATAAAGGGATAAAAGTCAGTTATCACTTTTTTTTTTAAACATACTCCTAATTACAATGAAATAATTTTTGCCCCTTTTTTCCTTAGGAATTTATATAAACAATTTTTTTTTCTTTCCAATACACCCTCTGCAAACAGTTAATTATTATTTCAAATAATTATGCAGACCTGGCAAAAATGCTCTAAAATTTCATAACAGGGAAATTTCAACAATCAATTGTCTCACAATTAAATTAAGTTCTCATTTTTTTTTTACTGAAACAGCTTGATAGTTTCAAGAGCATTAATAAGACCACTGTTTAAGACCAAAAGATAGATCCATGTGCAGCAGAACATAAATATAGCATGCCATTTTAGAATTAGGAGACATTTTTTTAAATCTGCAAATCAGCGCATATGTGCTGTAACTAACAGGTAAGCTTGAATAAAACAAAACAAAAAATGATATCTGAACAATTTTTTGTTAGTTTATAAAAGTTATCTATACAAACTCAGTAATATACTGATAAACAAAAGGTGAAAGAAGATCCCAACACACTTATACAAGTTTTACAAAGCTCATTTGAATGCTTTAGGACTTTCATAACTTTTATGTATTAGTTCTACACATGCTTTTTAACTTATCCAGATTTATAACTCTTTTGGCATTTTAGATTATTTTCTTAGCCAGCTATCACTTAATGGTAAACGAAGCCAATAATTATAATGAGAAAAATAAATACTAGTCAAAAAAATATATTGCATTTTAGATACATTGTTTTTAATATGCCCGTTTATGTTACGTGAAATAATTACAAACTAGTCAAATAAATCAGCTGACTTTTGCAAAACAATGCTATTTCAGTTTGACATTAAATTACAAAAAATGTTTTTGCGGCTGTCAATTTTAAATCCACAAACATATCTATATATATAATTCTCTTCTGGGAGACGCTAGAAAACAAGCTGTAAACGCGCTCCCTACCATCCCCACCCCTACATGGTCTTAGTGAGCTGTGGTTCACGCTGTTTACCTTCGTGGAGTCAGGTTTAGTGACGGCTATTAGGGGCAGATAATTTAGTTTGAAACGATTTTAAACGTTTGGGGGGGGGGGGGGGGAGAGAGAGAAAGGAGGGTGGTTATGGTCCTTAACGAGCTACTTATACACCTTATAGTGTTTTAAAGAAATATTTTCAGTGTCAGCGTTGGTACTGTCGAATTCACAAATTATGAATTACTGAAAAGTAGAAAAAACAACCACTAAATAGCGGCGTATGTTATGCAGCGGGCCGGCTCGTTGGTAATAAGTTAACTCACATACCCTATGCACAACAATAACAGACATTGGCATTCACTATACATTGACTCTGTGGTTTACACTATTCAAGGTATAGTTTTATTTAGTGCTATTCAATTCAAACTTATTTACAGCTATCCTGAATTTAAACTAAATTATACAAACATTCAAATTTATTTTTAATATAGACAAAAATGAAATGTTCAATCAAAAAAATATATATATATAAAGTCAAGGATTTTTTATAGCTGAATGTCCCTAATCTAGATCTCATCCCTTCTAATTTTCTGCCTGAATTTGTATGCTATCTTGAGTATTTTTAATACCAGTGTCTGCACTTCAGTAATTGGGGCAATGCTAGGGTTTAAATTAGCAAGTTATGTTAGCTTAATACCAGTAGAGTAATAAGAGCCTTGTTTTAAGAAATCTCCATAATTTAATTACGCTATAATCAAACACTAGTGTAAATCACATTCCACCAAGTCCTACTATGGACCCCACAATGAAGTGACATGCTATTAACAACATGATACACATATTAGAAGACTATTGGGGTAAATGACATAGCTCCAAGGATTGCTGACTTCTGCTGAATATAATTATTTCACTTACAGTAACTGAAAATGAGTGCGTAACTAGCAAAATTGCAGGCTTTTCTATAGGAGGCATTCTTGATCAACACAACTTTGGGTAATTAAAACTTTAAATCAATAATCTAAAAGGTTTTCACAAATATATCCAATAAAAGAATTCAAATACTGAGAAAAGTAAAGTTCCCCTTTCAAACCTGACGGTCTATGAGGCAAGTGAAGTAGAGTTCACCTGTTTCTGTGACATCTGCATTTGAAAGGATAGCGTGGTCAGCAATGTGCCCAGTCCCCTTTACTTTCCATAACGTGAGTTAGGTACCCATCAGAGCTGGGTGGACTCGGAGACGTCATACTGACTTGAACCCAGATTCGAACTCAAGACTTACGGGTTTGCATTCTAATTATCTAACGCTAGGCCACTGTGTCTCATAATTCCTAGAAGTCTATGATATTTTTTTCAAAACTTTCTATTTTTAGTTGGGTTTTATTAACGCATATTTTACTTTATCATATAGGCTATATCTTTGTGAGGAATTAATTTTTAAAAAGTTATTTGCATCATTTAAATAATGCACACTAAATAAACAATGATACAGCTTTGAAAAACAAATTATTTTTGAATTGTTAAAAGGCAAAAAACATTGCAAAACGTACAAATGAAATCATAATAAACATGAAGACCATATAGTTTTTCCAGTTTTAGCCATGTAATGATATAAATTTCTTTGAAAGTCGATTATTTCAGACCCTATGTCAGTTCCGGCTTTAAATTTAATGCTTATAATCGATAGGTCTATACTTTGCAATGAAGTAAATTATAGGGCCTATTAAGAAATAGTTTAATTTAAAATAGTGACTGTAATGAAACATCCTACAAATTAAGAAGGGTCTACTACTAGCTAAAAAAGTCTATGTTCAATAGGACAATTAAAATTTCCAGCTTGCTGCAAGACAACAGGTGACTAGATCTATATCTAGAAAGGCTAGTAAACTAAAAAATGTACTACATTCTAGATTCAACTAATAGCATTGCTTGATAATATGGAGGCGGGCCTGGTTGCTAACAATAAGGCGTCCACGCTGGGCGGTGACAAGGACAAAAGACCATTTTTTTCAGCCTACTTTCAGTAAGCTTCTTAAAATTATTTTTAAAAATATTAACCACCAGCAAAGGGGCGGGTTTATCACGATATAACAACCAAGTATAGGTCGCAGGGCTATGTAAGCCAGAAAAGCATTTCAAAATTTGTTTTAGAGAATGAAGGCTAAATTTAAAACTTGGTTTTATTAAAAATAGACCTAATAGAACTTTTTAAATATCGATTTCCATATTACAAATATGATTTCCATAGTAAAGCATTATTAGGTTTATCAGTCTATGAAAAAATAAATCAAATATCGTCAGCCATTTTTTTATAAGACCGACCAAGAAAATGACAACCACAATTTTTTTTTTTAAAATGTGACCACTATTTGTTGATCACTAGTGAGCTCTGGTGCGTAGCCACTTAAAAAGTCAAACCGAATTTGTGGTTTTCTTTAGCATCAAACACAAGGGTGATATAACATGGTTGTATTGGAAAAAGTCATGCCATAGCTGTAAAGACAAATTTTAAATCAAGTAATTTTATCTAAAATAGCTAAAACCCTCAAAATTAGTGCTTATGCATTAAATATGGATGTTTGTTATTCAGTGACCATGTTTAAATTGAAAATTGAGTAGGCCTAGGCCTAAATTTTAGATTTCGCAAGAATATTAACTAAATCGGGTGTTTGAGTTGTAGCTTTTCAGGGCACAATTTTCCTTCTTTGTATCCTCTTTTTGGGTGGTTGAGGATACCGATGTCCAATAATAAATTCTTCCGAAAATAGGTGTGTTAGGTTGTTAGAAGTATTGTAATCTCAATTTTAATGTTAGAATGGTAGGACTAGGGTTGAGGATACTGTTAGCATTGACATAAGCAAGCCATGTGTGTATTTAACTGCATTTAGTTAACTACCTGTAACTGTCACTGTGTGACCTAACACTTAACACTTTATTAAGATTCTGTTTCATTGGACACAGGTAGGCTACAAAAAAATCCCCCTAATTTTTCTGAAATTATACCAATTTCATGTAAGATCCAGATATACTTTCCAAATCTAGATTGATTAAACATTTAATGCAAAGTGTTAGCAATTTGGCTCTGTCTTGAGTGGCCTAGTCTAGAATCTAGCAATTTTGACTAACTGAAGAGAAGTTAAAAAATAATACCAAAAGAACAGACCAAGGGAGCATGAACACATGATTGATTATGATTAGTCGCTTAAACGTAAGTGTTGTACGATAATAGTATGGACGCTTGCATTTTTTTTTAAATCGATTCGTATCTTACTTCTGAAGCTTCATCTTCATCGCTTCCTGACATTTCATGCCCAAAATTTGAGATTGATTCCACGGCAGTTTTTCCTGCAGACGGAGGAGGTGCTGGATTTGATTCTTTGTTTAATTGACCAATTTCAATGGTTCGGATGTCCTTTCTAACTTTATCAACACTTACATCATCCATCATTTTGACATTAACAGTAAAATCCGTTTACATTACAATACAATAATCAAAAACACAGATGGCAAATCATTATTTTTTTCAAGTAATCATAGAACCACCTTGACCGCCATTACAAAAATACATTATGGACCTAAAGGAAAACTACCCGGATGGAAAGGTTCTGCGCAGAAGCTGATCGCCATGCGTTGGCAAATGTATTTCCCTTGAATATTTATATTTCGCATTATTACTCTAGAAAAATGTTATTACTTTTTCTAAGTTATTTTAGTTATAATTACAAAAGCGTTATCGACTATTCATTTATAAAATGCATTATTTATTGAAACCAGAGTTTCTTCCAGGCATCTCTTCGGTGGGTGGAGCTTTGCCCCCCCCCCCCCGAAGAAAGTCTACCGCCCCCCCCCCCCCGAAAATTTCAAGTGCCCCCCCCCCCCCCCCCCCCCCGGAGAAAAAAGTCTGGAAGAAACACTGATTGAAACGTAGCTGCACTTGGTAAAGTCTAATACATATAATGCATCGAATTTAGTTACTAGTTTTATTATGGTTATTCGTTAAAATGCCCATGTTTCAATAACTGATAAGTCATTCACCGACCTCTGGTGGGAATTATACTATAATGATGATTTTATGTGAAAACAATGATTTTTCAAGTTTTATTCATAACTGTTAATTGAATGGTTAAGTACAGATTTACGTTTGAATGGGGTAATGGTGGCTAGGAAAGAGAGAACAAAACTTAATAGAAAACAAGGCTTTTATTGTAACTGGATTAATATAATGCGTGCACAAATTGACGCCATTTGAGCAAACAACGTATTGTTTACCCGAAGGGAGATTTGGGCGATTACACATTGGAAAATGGCATCTTGAGAGATCACTCGATGCTTTGTATCGTGAAAACTGATCAATCAATGCTAAGTTTTTCGTCAAGTATATAGTACCGTGTCCGATAATGTGTTTGTGTATGGATGGAATGACACCAGAATTTTTTGTTTTGTAAATTTGATAGTATAAGTTGGCTTACTGAGTTTTTAGTTATGGCTATACTCTTATATTTTAGTATTTTTATTTTTTTTATTTTTCTCTTGCTGGGTTTGTGATATGGTTAGTTTGGTTTTTTTTTCGTATTAAAAACACCTTCGTCACAGTTAATTATCCTATGGCTAATGGTAAGGTGTTGAGCTTTGTTTAGTGATTTATTTTTTCCCCAAATTATTCTTAAAGCCAGAAAACACGATTCTCGCTATATATAGAGTCTGATAGAAAACATTTTATAGTCTACATGCGGTTCGTAATTGATATGTATTATATATTTCGTGTTAATTCCAAATAAGCTCAGTCCTTTGAAAATAATCAACAGCCTGATTAGATTAGTTTTCGTGTCATGTCCCCATGTAACTTCAGAAACAATCTAGATAGGCCCTTTTTGTTTTCCATTTTCCTGACACGCAGTGGGTCTACTTATCAACCATAATAACATTTCAGCTTTTCATTCAACGGTAATATGGAACTTCTTAACTTTGTTTTTTTTATATGATCAAAAGTAGACAGGCTTTAGGGGGGTCAATCATAAATGACGTCACGCTCTTTTGGATGATTTTTACCTCCCCCTCCACTCCATCACACATCGGCACAAAAAGCCAGAACCCCCCTAAAAGGACGTCACACCTCAGCCTACACCCCTCCCCCCCCCCCACACACACAAATCGCTGTTGAATTTTTCTTGAAACATCGACATTTTTCCGAAATCTTGTCTGAACTCTGTCAACATGGAGTATTTTAATCAATTTCTATTACAATTTATTAATCCCGTTTTCTAAAACGCGAAATAGCGGCTAAAACTCGTTTTCTAACATTGCTTTGTTATAATGCAAAAGTGTGGCGTGACTCAAACCATCTGAACCCCCCATCCCCCTCTTCACAGACGGTCACAAAATTACGGACCCCCACTCCCTCATACGAGTGTGACGTCATTTATGGACGACCCCTTATCTCAGGTTTAAAAACGCAGGGAAAAAAACTAGACACTTTTCTCTGAGAAGTCGAAACTTGGCGATTTAGGCCACCCCTATTTGATAATAACTTAAATAATGTAATCCTTTATAGTATATAGATCTAGACCTAAACATGTTCGTCTATAACATAGTATTCAATTTCAACCCTACAGTTAAAGTCCACTACTCAATGCGAAATAATCTATGCATGCTGTCACTGTCGTCACAAGAGTATCAGCCGGTAATCTTAGTTTTTCCAAATTTCAAGAATTACGGCAGGCCTACAAGAGCGTGATCGATAATTAATTAACGTGATAATTTGTATAAATAGACCAAACAATATGATAGTTAAATAGTAGACACTAATGGTATTTTAACCATGTTTGAATAAGGCTTGTTATTGTTAGTAGACCTATTAAGTTCCACATTCTATGACCCCGTAGAAGTTTACACTGGGTGAGTGGCATTATAAAAGTCGCGACAATGATAAACACGTTTGTGATTCAATGAATCAATTCGCTGTTTAATGTGTCACTCCTTATTAGGAATATGTGTAGGCTACTAGTTACTAGATTTTCCGGGGTGTGAGTGGACTGTAACTTTGACCCCTGCGCAGTCGTCTGCGACGCAGATTGGTACCCCGTGTAATCAAGAGTTAAGAGTAGATTAGTCTTAAATTACAAGAAGTAGAAGTATAGTCGTCACAAGTCACCAATCAGATACGCCAACACTACACTATCAGGAGAAGCCGAGCCGAAGGGGAAACAATTGGACACATTGTAATGTGGGCCAGTAGCTCGTAGGCCTAGTGTTTACATTGTAGATTTGACGAGGTCATCGGACGTCATCCAGTTCGGTTTTTATAAAACAAGCTTTGCACTCTTATTGAGTTCAAAGTTTAAAGTCAACTGGAAGCTAGCCAGAAAAAATAATAGCTCACAAAAAGTTGGACTTTGTAAGTAAATCTACTTAGGGGTCGTCCATAAATGACGTCACACTCGTAGGGGGGAGGGGGGTCCGTAATTTTGTGACGGTGTGTGATGGGGGGGGGGGGGGGGGTTCAGATGGTGTGACGTCACTTTTTTTGCATTATACAAAAGCTTTGTTAAAAACGAGTTTTAGTCGTTATTTCGTGTTTTAGAAAACGATTTTAATCAATTGTAATAGGAATTGATCAGAATACTCCATGTTGACTAAGTTATGACAAGATTTTGGAAAAATATCGATGTTTTAAGAAAAGTTCAACAGCAATTTTGAGGGGGGGGGGGGGTTGTAGGCTGAGGTGTGACGTCATTTAGGGGGGTCTGGCTTTTTGTGACGAGGTGTAACGGAGGGAAGGGGAGGGGGGGGAGGTAAAAATCGTCCAAAAAAGCGTGACGTCATTTATGGATGACCAGGGGCGGATTAAGCTTGGGTGGGGCCCCGGGCTGAAACTTTTTGGGGGGCCCTGATATATATATATATATATATATATATATATATATATATATATATATATATATATATATATATCCTAATCAGCATACTATTCAAGATATTAATGGATTATTTATTATAACTTATAGGAACATTCGACACCGATATTTACAAAACTGCTAATTTTAAAAAGGTGCCAATTGTGTTCAATAAGCGGTAAATTGGATACAGACATCTAACCTTCTTCTTCTTCTCTTGTTTTTCGTTCTTAATTTTAGTGTTGGAATGGATCCTCTCCAACCAAATTAAGTGTACGCGTCAACTGGTTATGAGCCATTGACTCTGATTTCAGCCTGCTTTTCTTTTTAAATTTGTTTCCATAGCCTTTGTCCAACCAAGAACAAACTACAAGTCAGCATTTGTTTGATTTTGGAGTTGTCTCTCCTAGAAGAGTTGCTGTCCCCAGCTAACGAGCCTCCTCCGCCCTAGGGTTTGAACTCGAGACATTTCTGTTAAGCATCCACGAGCTTTACCGATTCAATCACGCTGATCCCCTAACATCTAACCAATATGTACTCAGTTTTAGCACTATTATATGTTGCCCCCACCCAGCCACCCACTGCCACGACACACACACACACTAACAAAATACAGAGAGGCGAGATACATCCGCTAAGTGCGCAGTAATAAATATGACTGTTTACTTTAGGCATGTAGAAGCTTTAGACTTCTGAACATCGAACTAGCCGGGTACCAGACGGTAGGACGATGTCCTGCGTCTGGTGGTGGGGGAAGTAAAGCCTGGTCAGAGCCTACGGATGAATAAGCGACCAACATGTAGTGTTACAAACCAACATCTTCGTGAGACTGATTCAGTCCATTATTTGACAGTTAGTTGGAGTTGACCTCCCTGGCTAATTGGAGTGAAACTCCTGAGCCAGCATATCCGTGTCACGATTGTAATAGATTGAAATAATTGTGAGGTCAAGGGAACTCACTCTTCTGTATTAGTTATATTTATAATATTGTTATCTTGAGTGATGTCCCTTGTCTACTTCCTTCCGTCCTCTCTGGTGTTACCATCATGAGGTAGTTAGACCCAATTAAACGTGTTATATACAACCACAGGCTTCTGTCGTCAATCTATTATAACTGGCGACGAAGGATAAACATCTACTAGAAAGAGCACCTAATTACGCAAAAAAGAGGTTTGCTAGAGCTTATTAGCTAATTATTTCTAGAATTATGGCGCTGTATGGCCAAATAAATCAATTTGATGCGAATGATGAAATCATTCAAGATTACCTAGAGAGGTTAAGCTTTTACCTAGAAGCTAACGACGTGACGATAGAAGCCAAAAAGAGAGCTGTTTTGTTAACAGTCATAGGGCCTCAACAATTTAGGCTACTAAAAGACTTATGCGCACCAGCCAGTCTAACTACCAAGAGCTTTAACGAGCTGAGCAAATTGCTAACAGACCACCATGCGCCTACCCCATCAAAGTTTTTATGTCGAGCTAGATTTGACAGTAGGACTCGTCAACCAAACGAGTCAATATCAGAATATGTTGCTGCTTTACGTCATTTAAGTAGATTCTGTGAATTCGGAGAAACGCTGTCTGACAGATTATGTGAAAAGTTTGTGACAGGTGTAAACAGCCCTGATATTCAAAGAAAGTTGCTGCTCGAGTCAGATCTAACATTAGAAAAAGCAATACAACTTGCAACTTC